GTATCTGCTGGCTTTGATCTGAATTCTGGCAGGTTGGAACATACTTTTAATCCTTTTCAGTTTCTTCTTATTTTTTTCTTCAGGAAAGGGATAGCTTTTGGAGGATGATGCAGAAATATGTAGGCTCTGATATCACGTCAATGGTCACTCTTCCTGTAATGATCTTTGAGCCAATGACAATGGTTCAGAAGATGGCGGAGGTTTGCTTTCTTCCACAAACCTAGGTGCATCGAATTCTTCTTACTCATTCTGTTTTATCGCCTTATGTACTGAGAGTTTGATGTTTTTCCACAGTTGATGGAGTACTCCCACCTGTTAGATCTTGCAGATGAATGTGACGATCCCCACATGCGTTTGGTATATGCTGGTGTGAATCCCCTATCCCTTTCCTCTCTTTCTATTCATGGATCCACCTTTTTGGTCCATAGCACATGAGACCTGATACTGTATCACATTGCAGCATCATTCTTCATATCTGTTTACTATGCCTTTCAACGCACTTGGAAGCCGTTTAATCCAATTCTGGGAGAGACTTATGAACTTACAAATCATGGTGGCATTACATTCATATCAGAACAGGTGAGTTCTCCCTCCCTGAACAATGATTTCATACAACTGAAAGTTAATGTTGAATTATCTTCATTGCTTGTCCGTGTATATGATATATGACTTGTATTCTTGTTACTGTCATTCATCTTGATTCACAGGTCAGCCATCATCCTCCAATCAGTGCCGGGCATGCTGAAAATGAACATTTCACTTATGATATAACTTCCAAGGTGAAGACTAAATTTTTGGGGAACTCAATCGAGATCTATCCTCTTGGAAGGTATGGTTGCGTGTAGCATCCCATTCACTTCGGCGTTTCTCTGAATAGACTTATTTTTGTTCTAATTCCAGACTTGCCTACTTGATTGCAATGTTCATATTAGTCTATGTTGACAGATAAAGGTAGCCATGTTCTGATTATATGTCTTGACTGTATGCACTTCATTTTCCAAAAAGGGGATGTTCTGAACCCAAGTTTTGGACTGTGGCTATTCCACATTGGTCGGTAGATTGATTGATAGGGGAAGTTTGGATTGCTTACATTGCTGTTTGTTATTAAGGGTATCTAACTATGGTACCAGTGGACCAGATACCAATTTCTGTAAAATGCTCGGGCTATGATCCTCTCTGCACTGTTTCTAGGAATAAACTATATTTGGTTATTTCTGGATTCTGCTCTAATCTTGCCTTAGTTTGTCAAGAATCATGTTAACCACTGCAATTCCTCGATGTTTTCATTTTCACTGCTATGGTGTTGTTATAGCTTTAATCGTAGCCTTCCATAAAATTAGAAAATCTTTAGTCATAGTATCTGGCTATGATAATTTAGATAAGAGTTTTATGAATGTTGTATGTTCAGAATATTCTGCACAATTTAGTAATTTCAGCTAAGAAATTGTGATGTATATTGCAGGTCACGTGTGACCCTTAAGAGGGATGGTGTGGTCCTTGATTTGGTGCCTCCCCTGACAAAAGTTAGCAACTTAATCTTTGGACGAACATGGATTGATTCGCCAGGGGAGATGGTGCTGACTAACATTACTACTGGGGACAAAGTGGTGCTGTACTTTCAGCCTTGTGGTTGGTTTGGGTAAGATACTGTTTTCATATGCTATGCTTATCCATCCCTTTGTTTTTGGAATATGGTACTGCACATGCATGCCTTTCTTGAAAGCCAATTTTGCAATTCAAGGCTTGTTAATTTGTCCAAACTCCTTTTCTTGGTTTATATTTCTAAATCACTGATGGCACTATCATGAACATTTATTTTGGGTATTGGTGTATGCATTGCATTAGGGTTGCAATATGTTATATTCATTGACTGGTTTTAAACTCATGCAGAACTGGCCGTTACGAAGTGGATGGCTATGTGTACAATGCTGACGAGGAACCCAAGATATTGATGACTGGGAAATGGAATGAAGCCATGAGTTATCAACCCTGTGACCTTGAAGGAGAACCTCGTGCTGGTACTGAGCTACAGGAGGTAGGTTCTGGTTTCCAACGGATCATAAAAAGTTTCTCAGTGTGGCGAATGCAAATCTATTTATTTAAACTTCTGATCGAGACAGAATATGCCTTAAACTTTAGTACATAAATTTCATCTGGATGTTGTATTGTAGACTAATTCTCTTAATTCATCCTTTCTGTGTTGAACTTTGCGTTGGTTAAGGTTAGAGGTTCAAAGTAACTGATATGCTGACATTTTGGTTTTCTTTTGTGGTACCTGGTGCTTGTCCTTTTTGCAGCCTATTAAATCATGAGCATTTTTTTTTTAAGTTGTTGTGATATCATCCTGAATCCCTAAAGCGAATGCTTCATTCTTGTCTTAGTTGTGTACCAATGATAAGTTGTCCATGTTGTCAACTGTCAAGTCTATGTGCAAGATGCGAGTCAATACTGAACATCTGCTGCTGACTGTTTGAGTTGTGGTTGTGGTTAAGATAACATTTTGATTATGGGCTTATGAATTTTTGTGTACAAGTAAATTGAACAGCTGGTGATGTTTTTTTGCACTTTGCTAGGTGTGGAGAGTTGCAGAGGCGCCCAAAAATGACAAGCATCAGTACACATATTTTGCACACAAGATGAACAGCTTTGACACTGCTCCCAAAAAGTTATTGCCCTCTGATTCCCGTCTACGCCCCGACAGATACGCTCTAGAAAAGGGCGACCTATCAAAATCCGGTGCAGAGAAAAGCAGGTTAGTGTATATAGAATAATGCACGCAGGGTGATCTTCAACCCATGTCTTTTGTTGACAAATTATGTGGGGTTGGGGTGTAACCATTGTTGTTAATTCTTATTTCAGCCTGGAGGAGAGACAGAGAGCAGAGAAGAAACTGAGAGAGGCTAAAGGAGAACAATTCACTCCCAAATGGTTTGATCAAACCAATGAAGTCCACCCGACTCCTTGGGGGGAGTTGGAACTATACCAGTACAATGGCAAGTATACTGAACACCGGGCTGCAATCGACGCCTCCTCAGATACTGTCGAAGAAGTAACCGACATCGAATCCTTGGAATTCAACCCATGGCAGTACCCTAATGAGAGCCCTTAGGAAGTGTAAGTTCCTCGACAGTGTAACATATAGTTGTCCTTCTCCAAGTGTTTGATTTTTACTGAAAGTTATTGTGTGTGATACTGTTACAGAATTATGTTGGGTTATCATAATAGGTTAAAGCTTTCGTTTGTTCAACTCGGTTTCGTAGGTGTTCCCCCTTGTTGTGAAGTAATTCTATGGCTTTCGTGTAAGTACTTGGTAAAGTTGCCTCGATCTATAGTTTGAAACACAAGTTTCTGGCGTACTATTTTTGTTTGCATTTCTACTTGAGTTTAAAATGACTCGATATTTCACATATTAAACATTCTGATCAATCTTTCGATTTATAATTTTATGGTCTCAACTATGTATTAAAGTTACGAAATTGGTCAAACTCGAGAATAAGATTTGACCGTTATTTTGGAAGGTCAAATACGTTGACTAACGGTTAATGCGCAATATATTATTGTCAAGTAAGCACAGATCCCTTAAAAGTTTTGGATTTTGACTTTTTTCACCTATTTTCATTTATCTTTTTTTATTCTGAACAAAAGAAGCAGCCGCACCTCATTCTCGAGGAACTGTCCTAATTTATGGACTGGGCAAAACCTGGGGCACAACCGTAAACCAAGAATCATTCTTGAGGTTGTGGCTTTATACAACACCTGGATATGACATGGTTTCTTTGGCCCGTCTGGGTCGAACAACGACATCAATATTCATGGGACGTCTCCGGTATTTGACTGTATCCTCAAAGGAGCTCCACAAGTAGGATTTGAGGTAAACGGTCATACCTATGAAGGCCATGATCAATGTTATTATTTGGCTGATGGTATTTATCCTTCATGGTCAACTTTATTGAAAACATTCAACGATCCAAGTTCAAACAAAGAAGCCTTGTTTGCTCTATGTCAAGAAGCACATCGAAAAGCCGTAGAGCGGGCCTTTGGAATTCTTAGAGTTAGATGGACAATTGTTCGTGGCCCTGCGAGATCTAGGGATGTTGCCACAATTAATGATATAATGTTGGCGTGCATTACATTGCACAACATGCTAATCGAGGATGAGCAGGTTGATTCTGACGATGAGATGGAAGATAGTCTTTATTATGAGGTCCACGACCAACAACCAACTAATGTCGACAGAGATATTCCAACCCTAATTGAGTACTTCGCTAGGAATAATAGACTTCATGCGACACCAACTCATCATGGCTTCGTCAGAACTTGGTCGAGCATATTTGAAACTTGCATGGAAATAATTAGTCATTCGAGGTGCTTGGTATCGATGCTGCGATGCTTTGTAATTTAATTAGAGTTGTAGTTGGTGACCATTTGTTTTGTAATTCAAGAACACATTTTCATTTCAATAATATATTTTTCATTCTTATTTCGGTCTAGTTTTTGTTTACACACAAATTCAAAATGATAAATATAAAAATAGAATGAATTTAATTTAAGTAATCTTATCAAATAAACATACTTTAAAATATTTTAAGAGATCAAATTAAAATAGCTATTAGAGCCCAAATTAATTCACTTATTAATCCACTAATTAAAACCTTATTAATCCTTGGAAAAAGTGGTGGTGCCGGAGACAACATTTGCAGCTTGCAAGATCTCAAAAAAGTATGCGGAATCAAAAAGCATTTCGCTACGATCAGATACCCGAACGCAAAGTTATGTTCGTTTGAAGTTTCAGCCTAGGTTAACCATTGGTCGAAAAAAAATTCTATTGTAGAAAAGCCTACCGACATGTCAAGCCGATCAAGATCATCGCTGAGTGGAGGATACAAAAATTGTATTCCTTGTCTCGAAAAAAGGATTGTTATGGCACAATCCAAATTCTATATAAATATACAACGTAACATATCCTTATATATAAGTTCCCACCAAGTCCCATTAGTACCACTTCTTTTGTCATAATTAATATGAGAAAATATCATATAATGGTCATTTATCCAATAAACATAGATAATATTTGCATACGTATTAGGTTAGTAGATTGTCTTGCATATAGAAACTTTTCTTACAAATTTCATTACCATATTAGTAGGATCAAAATCAGTGAGCAATAACTAACTTTTTTTTGTGTGTGTTGGCATGATATGGGTAACTAACTTCTATGGCTATAACGACTCCAGTTTCAGGGGAAAAAAAGAAACATGTATAGCTAACAATGCGGGTTTTGACTTTTGACACCTAGCCGTGCATCGACTGCAAAGTGTTAAAAACTTGAATCGCGTCTCTTAAATTTCCAAGCTTTTTCTTTTGGCATTGTACAACGTTAATTACCCACCCAACATGTGTAAGCAGATAAGATTAACCCACAACAAGGGAGACGCCTCCACGTGTCAATAAGACGACAAAACTTTCTCTGGTTGAGTGGATCACCCCTTTCGGAGGTCAGGAAGGAACTGGTCCAAGGAGGGTTTTTGGCTCTCCTCTTCTGCTTTATTATGCCGTGTATAGTAGCCGGTAAATCCCATCGCCAGTTCCTCCTTCTGTGTTTTTGGGTTTTGAGTTTAACCAAGAGAGCGAGAGAATATTAATTTTAATAATAAATAGAAGGAAAAAAAAAGAAAAAGAAGGAAAGCCCATTGGGTGGTTTTGCAGGGAGGTTTCATTTGATGATCATCATCCACACAGGATTCAGATATACAAACTAACCCTTGTCCTTTTTCCTTCCTTTGCTTATTCTCTGTCGTTCCTCACTCTCTTCTCAATGTCCTTCCCTGTCGAAAAGAAAAAGGTTCGATTTTTAATTTGAAAAATTGTAGTTGGTTGGTGGTTTCTTCATTCATTCAATTCAGATGCCGTCCTTGTGAGATTTTTGGCAGGTGGGTATGTCTTTCTTCTACTTTTGTTTTGCCTAGGCTTGTCTGAAGTTGAAACTGTCTGAAAAAAGAAAATTGTTCCCTTTTGCTTTGCTTTTTCTGGAGGTAGGGGATCAATCAATCATTTACCAATTTGATCTGGGTCTGGTTTGAAAAATTGTTTCCTCCTTTTGGTACCACGAAAAGTTAGTTTCTTTTCTATCACCATTCTTTATCTCCTTTCCCCTTGTGTGGAATGATTGATAGATCAATAATGTGAAGAAACCATGTAGCTCTCTCTCTCTCTCCTTCCCTGCTCCCACACTCTCCAGTCTCTAATCTCTGATGAATGGTTTGAAGGTTTCTTTTGTCAATTTTGTGGTATTACTTCTCGACAGTGGAATGGTTTTTGTTGGGGTTTTTGGGATCTGACAAATTTACTCAGTATTATAGTATTTGTCTGAGATCTTAATTATGTTACAGTATTAGGTTCCTCTCTGACTGTTTTTTTCCCCTTCCCCTCTTTGTTAATTTATTGTTTCTCTTTCATTTGGTTTGTTATTGTGTCAGATTTTTCTATTTTATAAACGGGAGGAGTGATTATTGTCTCATGTGGATTGTATTCTATGCTGGAGCTTGCAGGTTTGAAGGCTGGTGCTTTTCTTTGCTGGTTTCGAAAGGCTTCATCAAAAGTTTCTGATTGCATATATGGGCTGAAGAAAAGCTGTTGTATGTTCCGCCTTTTAAGTTTAAGCTTGATTCCAATTCGCTCGCTGCCACCAATTCATCTATCTTTGAAACCCTTTTCCGTTCTCTCTTTGGGTGCCTTTGGTTGATTATGAATGTGTGCATACATGCTCGAATTTGCATGTCATACTCTCCTGATAATTGATGATGCTAATTCACCCATCTCTGACAAAAAGTTAGTTGTGGTAGTTCCTGGTTAAAGTGAACTTATGCTAATTCACCAATCTCTCATCATCAATACATCCTTAAAATTTTGGAATTAATGCCACGTATGAATATGTTCTATACTATTAGTTGGAGTTACTGACCACAAGCCGTACATTTTGGTTTTGCAGACGGTTGGTTAGACAGTAAAGCTGGTTTTGTTTTGATTAATGAATTCCTTTCACTATGAATGTGTAAGATATGTCAGTGGAAAGGAGGCTGGAATATGGTTTCGGTGGCTACAGGGTCCCTGTGGTTCCTCGTGCTGCTCGATCATATAGGGTATGCACTAAGTAGAGTTCATGCTGATCTGCTTAATTCTGTTCTAATTGCAAGAGGTCCTAATATAATTCTCAGTTTTTATTTATGCGTTGCTTACAACTGTTTCAGGGCAGAGGATTGACCAGGAAGAAAGGAGATAAAGAGGGCGAGATACGGGCATTTGAAATCTTAGCAAGTGTAGCTGGTAAAATATTGCAGGATGGTGAAGTTTCTTCTGCTGCTTCTGTAAAGGATACAACAAGTAAACTGTGTCTTCAAGGTAATGGTGATGAAGAAACAGAATTGTCTAAACCAGACTCTTCTGTTTGTGGTGGGAAAACTGATCCTTCAGGCTCGGAGACTGGTTTGAATCAAGGCTATCCATTCCATGACTTCTTATCACCACCTCAGGCGACTTCTTCTAGTCACAAGGGAAGCTCAACTTCTTCCGATCACTTGGAGAAGAAGATACATGAAGATGCTGCTGATGATAATTTGTCTCCCAAGGGATGGGAAATGTATCAAGGCCAAAGGGAGAGCCTAGTAGCTCAGGTGAAGCCTGATGAAGTTGAGTGCAAAGTCAAAAGTGCTGAAAGTGGAACTTCGCCGCCTGTTCAAGTTGATTTTGAGGACAAGATGGAAATCGACATGAACATTCCTGCACGGGCTAGTCCCGAGAACAATAATGTGAAGCCATCATCGTCATTATTCAAGAACTGCATTGGTGGCTTAGGTTGTTTCTCTGGACGTTCTGCTGAAACTAAAGTAGAAGTCACTAGAGATGATGATGACGAAAATGCTAGTGGGTGCTCTCAAGATGTGCAGTCATATAAACAGCAACATATATCCTGTAATGGAGTTCAGAAACCCAGGAACTCATCATCAGCATCTGTACTGAAGCATTGGAGGGTAACAGCTGCTAACTCCAAGGTCGGGGGATTTTTCAGAACTGGTAAAAATAATTATCACTTCCTCTGCAATTCTTGTTTTGAGATTATAGCTATTTTCTTTTTGGTTCCTTTCTGGGCCTTGTATGCTTTATGGGTGTTTGTTTCCATGTTGATTTGCAATTGTGGTAATAGGGGTAGTAAGAATTTGAACTCTGATGTTTACTAGATGGGAAGGCATCAACAACCAAAGCAACTTACAATAATAGTGGGAAGTCTTCTTCAAATAATCAGCAAAAAACTCAGAAAGTTATACCTTTCAAGAAACGGAAGTTCTTTGCATGTGATGGTGCATCTGTGTGTGATGACTTATTTACTTCTCCTAACAAGAGAACCAATGATGACAACAGCTGCGGCTCAGGTGCGTTCAATGAATGTCTTTGTTATGAATTAGCCTATTCATTAAACTTATTGACGTAATGTAAATGTCGGTTTCTCTCTCTGTTGCAACATCAGGAACATCATCTTCAGTATCAGGCCAACATACACCTCCAAACTCACGAGACTGTAATGGTAGGAAATGTTTGCTCCGGAAATGAACTTCACTTTTTTATTCCTTAGGGGCTTACATTTCATTTGCTCTCTTTCCCAGTCAAGTTTAGCATCAAATCATTCAAGGTTCCTGAGCTCTTCATCGAGATTCCTGCGACAGCAACTGTTGGCTCATTGAAGGTAAATGATGCTCTCTTCATCCATACTCAAATATTGGATGCATTTTGGACGCAACAAGTTTGCTGCCTCTGCGATTATCTTATTGACACTTTGGTACATGGAACATGTAGAGGACGGTAATGGAGGCGGTCACTGCTATCCTTGGTGATGGACTACACGTTGGCATCCTGGTGCAAGGAAAGAAGGTTAGAGATGACAACAAAACCTTGCTCCAGACTGGGATTTCTCAAGATGACAAGCACCATGGTTTGGGTTTCATATTGGAGCCCAGGCAACATGTTCAAATAGCTTCATCATCACCACCTTCCTGTGCTCAGACGCCCTCCTTCTTAATCAGCCGTTCTCCTGCTGCTGGTGGCCTATCCAGGTCAGCTGCTTATTTCACTGCATGGCTCCTTGGCTGCCTGCTTCATTAAGCTAAATTAAAATGTGACTATAGTGTGTTCTTTTTTCCCCACATCTAGCAGGCATACATCTCTGAAGCTACAAGCTGGGGGATCAAGTGGTGTTTCTCCAATTGTTTCCACAGACATGGGATTTGTTGGGAGGAGTGGTGGCGGAAGTGGTGATTCAGGCAGAGCTATTGTCCCTCTTGTTGATGAGCGAGCGTCTGTACCTGAATCAAAAGCTCTGGTGACAGTTCCATCAATTAGAATGGAGGCAATGGCAATGGTGCCCTTCCACAGGAAATCCGGTCAGCCTGAGCTTGGTCAGCGCCGGATGAGAAGACCCTTCTCGGTCTCAGAGGTGGAAGCACTTGTTCAGGCTGTTGAAAAACTTGGAACTGGAAGGTGGGTCTCATCATCTTTTTCAATCCTTCTCTTAGTCCATTTCTAAGGACAAGAAAAGTTAAACAAAGTTGGGTTCTTTTTTCCCAGGTGGCGTGATGTCAAGTTGCGTGCTTTTGATAACGTGCACCATCGAACTTACGTGGATTTAAAGGTGAGAGGGAACTTATTAACACTTTGAACAGCTTCCATTTTCTGTTCTTGATGAATGTAGTCGTAATTTGTTGTCGATTTAAACTTAAAAGGATAAGTGGAAGACATTGGTACATACAGCAAGGATATCCCCACAGCAAAGAAGAGGGGAGCCTGTTCCACAAGAACTTCTGGACCGAGTTCTGGCCGCCCATGCTTACTGGTCGCAGCAGCAGGCCAAACAGCAAGCTAAAGCTACTTCTTGATGTGAAGAGCCCCATACAGGATAAGGGGTGCTGTTGTCAAGTTCATGGTTGATTGAAAATTAGAAATATTATAGAAAGTAAACATAAAACTCTTTGTAGATTAAGATATGGTTTTGTTTATAGGGGGTTCATTTTTTTGTTGGCTTTGCTAACTTAACCCCAGGCTGCCCCTTGAAGGAGGAGGTTTGGACCATTTGTAGATTGAATTTGTATTCATGACAGCAAAGCTTTGTTCCTTTTTTTGTTGATTTTTTGCAAACTGCAGCAAACACTTTGTTCAGTTTTTGCTCCCTCTGTGAATAAGAAGGGAAAGCGCTAGTTTTTTTTTTTTTTTTTTTGTTTAATGTCTGAGAAATTGGTGCTGTAACGAATTGTTCTTCCTTTGCAACTTTCTGATAGTTTGAGGGTTGTAATAATTGGATGATAGAGAAACAAATAGATAGAAAAGGGACTGAAGTGTAAGAGACTAGGAGTCTAGGATGAGTATAAATAATACCACGTCAACCATTTGTAACGGCTATGAACACGAATAACAAACTTTCTCTCTCTCCTCTGTTTCCTTTCTTTTTTATGCCTTCCTGTTCTAGCAACTTTGGTTAAACACTTAACTACTGATCGCCATTTCCAGATATTCGTCTAGATTCATGGATCCTCTAAAGTCGGGAGGTTACAATTTGGTATCAGAGCTTTTTCTCGACAAAATAAAATGAGACAAAAAAGAAGAAGACACGATTATTCTCATTCACAAATCGCGTATTAACTGTGTAAACATGATTTGAAGAGGTTAGAGTGCAAATGAATCCTCACACCATCACCATGGATGAGCAGACTATGACAAGCAATTCACAGTTAATAAAGCTCAATTGCATGAATTGACCACACACTACAATTGGCGAATTTCAATACTCTCCTCGATGGAATTGATGGCCAATTCGATGAAGTCCTGTGAATATCGAACCATAATCATAAAATGAAAATCAACAGTTCCGATTCGTCAAAATTATGCAAACAATAGGTGTGAACGCTGGCATATGCTGCTAGTCTTTAGGTTTAGAAATAGGATTATAAATTGAGGGTCATATCGTACTGGTAGAACTGTAGTTCTTTAGGGTTTAGAAATAGGATTATAAATTGAGATTGGGAAGAACTAAATTGGGGATTTAGGGGTTTAGAAAAAGAAATTGGAGATCGAGGAGAAGAATGGGCGACGGCCTTTAAGGATAGGTGATGAATTTGAGAGATGAGAGATAAGGGTTAGAGAGAGATACTTTTCATAATACTTTTCTGATTAATATTAATATAAACCTAAAGTACATATATATAGAAACATAAACTGGAAAAACCTAATAATAACCCTAAATTAAACCAAATGTAATTCGACCCATAATTGGCCGCCTACCCCTAAACTCTAATAATAATATTTCTAACGCGTACCTTGGGTAAAATCAAAGTTATGACATAGCTTGAGTAAGAAAATTATGCGTGGCGACTGCCAGTGAGATGTTTGCTTCCATTGAGGCTAAACAGAGGAATCAACAAGCTTTCCTGCAGAACCTGGAAGCCAAGATTGGCACCATAGCTCAGGTTGTCTCTGCTAGAGCTCCTAGTGCAATTCCATGTCACACAATCCTCAATCCTTGTGACCCGCAAGAGCATTCGAAGGAAATAGAGTTTCGGAGTGGGAAAAAGACCAGAGATATCCCCCACTCTTGAGCCACAAAAGGAGATTTGATCTCCTCCAGTGCAGTCGGACCCTGTTGATGAAGAGAAGGAGAATGATGTTCCTGCTCCTCCACCACCACCATTGGTGAAGGATTATAAGCCTCATTTGCCTTTTCCCAGCTGGCTTCATAAGGACAGGTTGGAGATAAAAATTTCCAAGTTCATGGTGCAAGTGTACATCAACCTGCCTTTCGTGGAGGCTCTCTCCCAGATGTCGAAGTATGCAAAATTCATGAAGGGCATCTTTACCAACAAGAGGAAGGTAGAATACCTCTCCATTGTTATGCTGAATCAGGAGTGTTATGTCATCACAGAGAACAAATTGTCAAAGAAACACAAGGATCCATGAAGTTTTACTATCCCTTGCACAATTGGTAATTTGCATATAGGCAAGTTCTTGACAAACTTAGGTGCTATCATAAACGTCATGCTATAATCATTGTTTAAGAAGCTAAGCCTAGGTGAACTCAGTGCTACTAGAATGAGTATACAGCATGTTGATCATTCCATTGTGCATCTTAGGGGCATCATAAAGGATCTCCTTGTTAAAGTGTGTACTTTCATATATCATGTTGACTTTGTCATACTTGATATAAATGAGGATGTTGAAGTACCTTTTATTTTGGATAGACCTTTCCTAGCCACCAGCAAGTCACTCATTGATGTTAATGACAAGAAACTGATATTGCGGGCTGGGAATGAGCAAGTTACTTATTTATCTCTGAGAATTTGCAACATTCCCGCCTGTACGATGATATAGATTATTGTGATGTGGTTAATAATTTTGAAACAACATTTCCCATCACAAGTGCTCGTACTAATGATTCTCTTGAGTGTTGTCTTTTTCTAGGAGAACAAGCATCAGAGCAGCCACAGTTTGCAGAGCAGCTGGCAGCACGAGATAGGGAAGTAATCGAGGAGCACGAGAAACTAGTGAAGTCGATCTCCCAATCGGCTTGGATCACCACCTCTCTGGAAGAGCCACCAGAGTTGGAGCTAATGCCCCTCACGAGTCATCTCAAGTATGCATTCCTACTGGAGGGGAACAAATTGCCGGTTATTATCAGCCTGGAACTCACACACGAGTTGAAGACCAGCTTGGTGGAGTTGTTGAGCAAGCATGAACCATCACTGGCATGAAAGATCACGAATATCCTCCCCTCATTCTACTCTCACAGAATCCTCATGGATGATGAGATCAAGCCAGTGGTGCAACCTCAACGCAGATTGAACCCGAACATGCAGGCCATGGTCATGGTAAAGATTATCAAGTTGCTGGATGTCGAGATTATCTATCTTGTCTTAGATAGTGAGTGGGTCAGTCTCACTCAAGTGGTACCCAAGAAAGGAGGCATGACACTAGTGCCAAATGAGAAGAACGAGTTGATCCCTATGTGCGCATTGACATGGTGGCGTATGTGCATCGACTACCGCTGCCTGAACAATATCACCAGGAAAGACCATTTCCTGCTACCCTTCATTGAACACATGCTCTAGATGCTTGCTGACCATGAATTTTAATGCTTCTAGATTTCATATCGGGCTACTTCCATTTTTTGATCGCACTAGGGAACCAGGCGAAGATCACCTTCACGTGCCCCCTTTGCACTTTTGCATACAGGCGGATCCCGTTCGGGTTGAGCAATGCCCCTACCACGTTTCAGAGATGTATGATGGCCATTTTTGACAAGCTGGTGGGGAGATTATGGAAGTTTTCATGGATGACTTCTCAGTTAATTGCAATTCAGAATCTAGAACAAGTACTATGAGTTGGAAGAAATGACATTTCATGGTTCGTGAGGGCATTATGCTCAGGCACGAGATATCGAAGAAGGGAATTGAGGTCGACCAGACTAAGAACTCCTAGAATTTGAAATTTTCCTCCTTTTACTTCTTTGCTTAGGTCCAGTAAAGCAGAATTAGTAGAGAATGAATTGAGTTGTGTTTGGTTTGCTATGATATTTGTGGAATCTTGATCATTAAATTTATTCCACCACCTTAAAGACTTGTTCCCATGTTCTAGACCTTAACCAAGTTGCAACCCGATTAAAAGCCCTCCTGACAAGTTAGTGGTGACCTACTGGTTTTGTGACATAGAGATTCTAGGATTGAGAGTTATAACATGCACATCTTTGCATAAAAAAATGTTCTGAACCCACTAGTTCGAGAGTGAGTGATTCTTTTTCCATATCATAAATCCCATAACCAAAACATCCAAACTAACACAACAACAAAATTAACCAAATTAAAGTTTAATCATTCTGGTTAATTGGTTAACCAGATTAACCAATATAACATCACATGACCATTAAGTGAGAAATTTTCGGTTAGTGCATCAATTTATAATTTTTGTGATGAATAAAATATAACAATCAACACATAGTTATAGTTCACACTTAACATAAATACATGCAACTATTACAATTATCTTATAGTCAATAGAAGTATTCACCTAACAAAAATATATGTCAATGATATGGGGTTAATGAATTGTTGTGTTCGTGTGAATTGGCTTAGTTTCGTAGCAGTTATTATATTTTGAAAAAACCTTCCTTTCAAATTTCCATCCAACATAATGCATTATCATTATCTACACTCTACAAATACAAATACAAATATACAGGATATGGACAATATTGAGCTTTATTTTTTATTAGCCTGAAAGGGAAGAAAGTTTAGCTTTTTGTGGTTATGAAAAGTATTAAGTATGTGTATATACATTAGTTATATAGCTAAATACATAACTTGTTAATTTGGTTTGATTGATTAGGAGTCGGAAATCAAATCAAATCATCTAAATCAAACAAGTTTAAATTTTTAATCAAATCAATTGTCCAAATTAACAAAACTAAATTATCCAATGAGTTTCATTTGAACACCCTACTGGCTACCTACGCGGACGGCGGACGGCGGACGACAAGTCTTTCCCTATTCTGTCCAGTGTGCACCGTCGTACTTCTGCCAAACACCGTCAGCTGAAAGCGAGGGATGAGTTTGGGCTTTTCGGCCCTAAGATGACTGCGACGGAGAGTGGTGACGGCGTTCATTTTCACTACGTGTCGATTTGTCATTGGCATAAAACCTTTGTAAATTTTTTACCTGTACAATTTTCATCCATCACCATCCCACGATCTGGTCTGCTGGTTGTTGTTAAAGCATATTTATTTTTGAAGCCGATGAGATCTGCGGTCCTGATCTTTCCGTTTACTAAAACAGCGATAATAGGACGGAAGTCACCATCTGCTCACTTCTTTGACTTCTTCTTCCCTCTTCCCTTCCACTCGGCCTCTCTCTCCGTTTTAAAGCCTCCCCTCCATCCTTTTTGTTTCTTTTTTCCCCTTCACTCTCTCCCTCTCTCTGTTTCTTGGCTTCTCGGCTGGTTCTGGTATTGGCCGACTTTCGGGCTTCCGGCCAGGTAACCAGCTCTACTTTCTACTGTTTTCTGCCGAAAGTTTTGATCTTTTTGCCTTTCTACTTCCTGTTGTGACTGGAAATGAAACGGGTCATCTGCTGATTTGTTGTTGACTTTGGATTTCCTTTGCTTTAAAATAATGGCTTCCGTTTTGTGAGAGTTCGAATCAATCTGCCTGGAAATTTTGTGTCTTTGTTGTTGGCTGCTGCCGAGAAATCGAAAATATCATCAGCGTTTGAATAGGCTGTTCCTTCTTTTCACATTAGACTCTGTTCACACGAAATTTTTAGCTACCGCGCGCTGGTCAGCCGCCATTTCTGGGGCTCGCGAGTTATACATTGGAGTTAATTTTTGATTTCTTACGGTTTCCTGAGCTTTTTCTGTTCTTTAAATTTCCAGGGTATCGAGAGATTGCGGTTAGAGGGGGTAGTTAAGGAGCAAGCATGGATCATCGGTTGAGCAGATTCTCCATTCCAATAGACGAAGCCCAATTGAGAGAGCAGCAAATCTCTATTCATCCAAATCCAAACCTCCTTCCCAGCCAAAGAACTAACTTGGTGGATCACAACAACAACAACAACAACTTCAGTAGAGGTTTCCATCATGACTACATCGCATCTCATTCTAACCCTTCCTCCAATGAAACCTCCAAATCCACTGTAACTCGAGAAGAAGAATACCCAGAAGAAGAAGAAGAAGACTGCGATTTTTCAGATGCAGTCTTGACCTACATAAGCCAGATGCTTATGGAAGAAGAAATGGAAGACAAGCCATGTATGCTTCAAGACTCATTAGATCTTCAGGCAGCTGAGAAATCTTTCTATGATGTCCTAGGCCAGAAGTACCCACCTTCACCTGAGCCTAACAACCACCCATCTGATGATGTTATTAGCTACTACTTAAATGCTAATCCTAGTTGGGATTGCAATCAGACTGACTATGATCATCACTTTCAACCTATTAATGCTTCCACCACCATTTCTCAATCTTCTCATACTTCTTCCAATAATAGCGTTGTTACAAGCACAGATGGGCTGGTGGACTCTCCCAGCAGCACGTTTAAGTTCCCTGATTTCAGCAGTGAGAGCCAGTCCATTTCGCAGTTCAACAAAGGTGTTGAAGAAGCTAACAAATTTCTCCCAACTTCCAACAATCTGCTTCTGAATATTGAGACCAATAGGTTGCTGAATCAGCAGCTGCCAAAGCATACGAAGAGGGATGAATTACAGATGGAATCTTTACTTTGTGGGTCAAGAGGAAAGAAGAACACTGTAAGGGATGATGTACCAATTGAAGAAGGGAGGAGCACAAAGTTTTTGGCTGTCTATAAAGAATCCGATTTGCCACCAGAAGTGTTCGACAGCGTGTTGCTTTGCAGCGTAGGCAAAGGCAAGGAAGACTTGACAGCACTTCGCGATTCATTGAAGAGTGCCACAATAAAGAACAAGCAGAGTGGACAGCTGAAGACATTCCAACACGGCAAAGGTAGTCGTGGAAAGAAAAGCAGCACCAGCACCAGTGGGAAGAAGAAGGAAGTTGTGGACTTGAGAACACTCCTCATCAGTTGTGCCCAAGCTGTTGCTGCTGATGATGTGTGGAATGCAAGTCAACTGCTGAAGCAAATTAGGTTGCATTCCTCACCCTTTGGCGATGCGAACCAGCGACTTGCTCACTGTTTCGCTGATGGACTTGAGGCACGCCTGGCTGGAACTGGCAGCCAGATCTACAAGGGCCACATCAACAAGAAAACCTGTGCTGCTGATGTGTTGAAAGCTTACCATCTTTTCCTTGCTGCTTGCCCTTTCAGAAAGCTTTCTAATTTCGTCTCCAACAAGACCATAAGGATTGCTTCGGGGGATGCAATGCAGGTCCACGTCATCGACTTCGGAGTTTTGTACGGTTTCCAGTGGCCAACCTTAATTCAACGGGTGTCGTGGAGACCGGGTGGTCCACCAAAGCTTCGTATTACCGGGATAGAGTTTCCACAGCCTGGCTTTCGGCCAGCAGAGCGGGTAGAAGACACGGGACGTCGCCTGGCAGAATATGCGGCAAAGTTCAAGGTGCCATTCGAGTACAATGCAATTGCAAAGAAATGGGAGAATGTACGGCTCGAGGATCTCAAGATTGAAAGAGACGAATATGTGGTTGTGAATTGCTTGTACCGGTCGAAGAACGTGTTGGACGAGACAGTGTCAGTGGATAGTCCAAGGAACATTGTCCTAAGGTTGATAAAGAAGATAAACCCTGATATTTTCATCCACGGGGTCATCAATGGGGCATTCAATGCTCCATTCTTCGTGACAAGATTCAGGGAGGCGTTGTTTCATTTCTCTGCAATGTTTGATATGCTTGAAGCTGTTGTGCCACGCGAAGATCAGGAGAGGATGCTGTTGGAGAAAGAGATCTTTGGGAGGGAGGCGTTGAATGTGATTGCTTGTGAAGGGTGGGAAAGAGTGGAGAGGCCGGAAACATACAAGCAGTGGCAAGTTCGTTGCTTGAGGGCTGGTTTTGAGCAGATTGGTTTCAATAGAGAGATCATGAAGGAAGCGAATGCGAAAGTTAAGGAACTTTACCATAAGGATTTTTTGATCGACGAGGATAGCAAGTGGTTGCTGCAAGGGTGGAAAGGTCGAATAATTTATGCGCTTTCTGCTTGGAAGCCTTCTCTTAGCTATGGTGCTTGACCGAGCGTTGGATACTTGAAAAGCTTGACTTGCATAATCAGAACTTACATGCTACTTCTACAGATGATGTGATATGACCTTTTTCTGCTAATTTGGTAGAGCCCCAATCTTTTTGTTTCTTTTCTTTTTCCTGGGAATACGGTTATAAGCAGTCTGGAAACTAGAGTAGAGCAGAATGATGCACATAGTCACTTGTAATGTACTATTGATTGCTTTTGGTAGGTGACAAGCTGTTGTATAATGTAACCTTTTGATGGGTGACAAGTTTTGTAATTGCTTTTTTGTATGCAGTTTCAAAGTTTGTTGAGAACACGCCTCTTATCGCTATATACTTCTGGGAAAGGGTCATCAGCTGGTGTTCTTGTCTTCTTGACAGCTTTTGTTTATACGGGATGGAAGCTCTGTAAGCTTGTGGTCTTTTGGGTTTACCCAGCAGCTAATTTACCAGATTGGGGTTACTGGGCCTTCTGGTTTTAACCAGAAGCTAATTTTACCAGATTGAGTACTATGAGATTGCCCCTTCAGTCCTAGGGAGACAAAACTTAGTACTTCCCCAAAAGAAGCATTGAACAACCTTCTTTTCTGACTCGAGCTGACTTGCTGTGTATTTACTTATGAAATGCTGCATTCCTTCCAGTTTGGTTGATGGCTTGATGCATTTCAAAAGACCATAAAGTCCAAGGTGGAAGTGGCCGTTGCCAGGTAAACTCACTCATTTCTTCCCTTCTCCTCCAAAAATGTCTGTTTATGGGGCATAGTATGTCTGTTCCTTTTAGTGGGTTATGACTCCAATACACGAGCCACTGTTCAGAGATGGGAGTTCATATGACTAAGGTTGAGCAGCTGTTCCCTTCTACAATCATTCTACAAAGTAGCCTTTCATGAGCCATCTTAACAGCTTTGGGTTAAGGTTGAGCCATGTGCCTGGGGAAAGTTGCAGACTTTCGGCACAAATGGTGGGGGATTAAATTAAATGTTGCAGGTAAATAAATCCCACTGTATGGAAAGGACAAATGAGCTGTGTGCAGGATTGTGGAGTTTACTGTGTTAAATTAACCTATCAGAGAGCACAGATGTGTGGAGTTTCCAGAACAGTCTCAAAGTAGTGGTCCTTAATTCCTTATGCGAAAATCCCCCACGAATACATGATTTGGTTGGTGGATTAAAGAAGACCATCGCCTGCTCCATCACATGCACATTGAGATCATTAGCTAACTTTCCCTAGAACCAATCAACCATTTTCTGCAGTTCTTTACAGAGCCGAGTGCACGTTGATACATCAGCACGCCTGATTCCCTATGTAAATAAACAAAGAAACAAAGGGAAAACTAACGAGTAATGGTCCTGAACTGAACTGACTACATGCTTAACTCAGAACTATGATAACGAAGCAGACTGGAAACCTTTTCATTCTTTGGGAGGAGGTTCTTCCCCAAACCACCTTGGAGGATCAAAACCAGACCCGCCTGTAGGTACGCCAGAAAAAGAAAAAGAAGGTTAAGATTGAATTGGAAACCGAAGGAATTCCCACAGAGAAGCAGGAAATTGCTGGTTAGTAAGACTGGACTGGAGTGTTACCGAGAGGATTACAGCGACAGATACGCCAGGTGGTCAAGACGGTGCCTTTGGCGAATCCGTACTTCTTATAAGCTTCCATGGAATACTCGCTGCACGTCGGCACATATCGGCAACTCCTCGGCAGCACCGGCGATATTTCCCCTGTTCGTTCAAAATGAAACACTCAATTGCTTCTTTCTTATCTTGCTCCGAACAAATTTCAATATGGGCTTCGGTTTTTCAAAGTTGCTTACTTTTGTAGAATCTCAACACTGACAAAGCAGCCTTAACTCCTAAATTGTACTCGTCCTCCTCTGATTGACGAAAAATGAACAAGTTAGCGGATGGGTTTTAGTCGAAGCTCGGATTTTCTGACAAACCCACGTCGGAAAGGTACCTTCTTGTACATTATTTCGGTCGGAGTCGGCGCCGCCGCGAACGAGGACCGAGCTCCGGCGACTGCCCTTTTCTGTTGGGGTTTTGATGGAAATGGGTAAGCCCCGGCGAGTGCCTCCGACTGTCAGTGATGTCTTGACGGGACGGGAAGACGGTGACTCGGATTGAAACCACGCGATTTCTGTTGGAGAGAAGAGTCTCTGGAAGTTCGAGGGAAGAACAACCGCCATGGCCGACTAAGAATTTTTGAGCGAAGCTGCGGATAGATCTTTCTACGAAACGACAGGCGCAAGTTGTTTCGTTTATTGCTGGCGTGTGTTTTTCAAACGGCGTCGTTTTCAACAGTCAAAACTCAGCATTGCAGATCCCATAAACCAAATTGTCACAGCATCCAAACCACATTACTCCTCGTCTCACTCAAGTCTCCCTCTTCTTTAAGCAAAGTCAACTAGAGAACAAGCCTTACAAATTCATGGCCGCCACAAGCAGTTCATTTACGTAACGAAACGCAGAGAAAAGATGGTATTCCTTTCAAGGCTATCTTCAGAAACGGGTGGTGATCTGGGAGAAGAGAGCCTTGAAGTCGGTGGTCGGGGTGCCTGTTCCCTCTGGCTTAGAGGCCAGATCAAACGCCTTGAACTTAGATTCCTCGTACTGGAGTGCCTGTGTTTCAGGAGGAGCAAAAGATGCGTATAAGAATCCCACGAGTTCCATCATACTTGAACTCAAACAAGTAGACTTAGTCTGTTCGATTCAGTTGGTAGTCGTACCTGAAGGCAGACTTCAGCAACATCAGGTCTTGCAATGGTCCTTGTCTCGGTCTGAAGAAGCTCATCATCCTTCCCCACCAGCAGCTCACGGATTCCTCCTTCTTTGTCTTGCAGTCCTCCAGCCCTGAATCACCAAATATCAGACAATATGATTCAGAAACAAGATTCTACAAAACTTGCACCGAAACGAAATGCTGTGCACTAGATAACAAAAAGCACAGTCAGTCACCTTATAATTGTGTAAGGGAGACCAGAATCAGACAGATACTGCTCAGCCTTTCGCTTCCACACCTAAAATATATGGAAACATTGATATCTAAGTAGTATTTAGCAGAAATCAAATCCCCGCCCGCACAGAAGAACCACAAAAGCATGATCATGAAAGTCTGAAATAGAGATGGATGAACAAACCAATATGTTGCCATTGCCCAAGCTGTTTAATGGGTTACTTAAGTTTGTTCCCCCCATAGAGCCAACCAACACAACGTGCTTCACTCCAGCAGCCTTGGCTGTTTCACATGCCATTCCTCCAATTAGTTAAACACTGAAAATTCGACTGACACTCACTGAAGAAGATAAAAGAGAGCACAGTCTCACCTGCATCAATTTGATTCTTCTGTCCAATCCAGTCAACCTAACATGATTACAATGCAACCCAGCTCAATCGTAGTTCATCAAGAGCACAAGATACACATTACAATCAAGAATTGAGCTCTCACCTGTTCAGGAAAGCAACCTTCTTCGTAGTAGAACTCAGGCCTTTCGCCTTTGGACGGATCAAACCCGGGTTTCATCTTTGGCACAGCACTGGTCAGAATAATGAGCGCATCGACTCCTTGGATGGTCGGAGCAATGCTGTCAGCATCCCTTATGTCCCCGACATAAACATCCTCAGCTCCCCCGATTTTGTCCTTGCTCTCTGGAGTCCGGACCAAACCCTTTGCAGTGAACTGGTCTGACCTCTCTTTCAGTTTCTTGTAAACAATCGAACCTGCAAACCATTGTAGACACTTTATCAATTTCCAATCAGAAAAAGACTTGATCATCACTAGAGCACAATCCATAATCAGATGATCCCAAGAAATACTAATTAATTAATCGATCATGCAAAAAATGAAACTTGAAGTAAAACCCACTTAACACGATCAGCCCTTAAACCCTATACACCATCAATCTTCAACATCTGCACATAGATTCCTCAAACTTCCAGCATATAACCAAACCCACAAATCCTGAAATTCTCCTCCTATTTCTGTTCTAATTCGCAAATGCTCTACCAGAATCCCAATCTTCTCCGTTCACTCAATCAACTCAATTGACATGGCAGAGAGCGAGAGGGGAGAGTGGGAAGGAAGAAGTGATCATACCAGTTCTGCCACCAGCTCCAGTGACGAGGACGGTGGGCTTGGGTGGCAAACCGGCCATTGATGCAGACGTGACACTCAATCTCCTCCGGAAAACCCTTGCACTATTATCGTCTCTCCTCGCCCACGATGGAGAAGAAGTAGACAGAGAGCGAGAGAGCACGACTGCAGAAGATTCTCGAATGCAGAAGGAACGACTGGAAATGGGAAGGGGCAACAATGAGGCCACGCCACCGAGTTGATGATAGCGACTCGAGGCAGGGGAGACCAGGTTGAGACACGTCATCAACGCGGACACTGTTTATGGTTTCGGTTACAATGTTGTTTTCATTCGGCCGCAGCAGAATCTCACACCTCCCCGCCTTGAATGCGCGCCCCTTCCTTAGCCGTTGAATCGCTGCGAGGGACAGTTGGGTTGTTGAAAGCGTTTGATGTTTTCCCTTATCCTGATGCCATTTTGCTCCATCTTATCTTCGACTAACTGTGGGATGGCTCTCGCCGCGGGAAATGGTCTTTTCTGTATGATGTGGGTTGGGCTGGAACTTTCTGTTATAGTTGCAGGCTGAAGGCTCAGCGATTCTAGCCCAACTTGAACTGGGGAAGATCCATCTTTCTTAGACCATCTTTAGTGATTAGATCCAAAAGTCCAAAATTTGAGGTTATAATTCAAATTCTAGCCTCTCAAAAGGTATTTTGGCATAAGTAGTGTGTTTCAAAAGTTCAAATTTTCAGATTTGCGCTTTAACTCATAATCTAGTTTTTTATATATTTCATCATTCTAATTACAAAATTTGTTCATTAGTTTTATATAGGTACTAATAATTAATTAAGATGAACATTTCGACAAATTTTTTTTGAATTCCGACCAAAAAATTTATTTGTAAATATGACTTAATTAATGGGTTAATTGCATGGTTGGTCACTGAAATTACAAAAAACTTTCATGTTTGGTCACTATAAATATTTAAATCCACTTTTGGTCACTAACTTTACAAAAACCGTTCATTTATGGTCACTCTCCGTTAGCTGCCGTCCAACGCCGTTAACGGCGTCCGTTAAATGTTGACGTGGCTGACGGATTTGCCTAATCAGCACCTTTTAACCCCAAAATTGACTGACCCGACCCGTCACTTCATTTAAACCCGCCATGTCAGCTAAACCTAACCAAACCTCTACCCAAACCCGACCAGACCTGCTAACTAAAACCAAACCAGACCAGACCCCCAAAATTGTTTGACTAAAACCCTAATCAAAGACTGCCTCCATCTCTCCCCCGTGAGGAGAGAGAGAACGGACTCCATTAAAGCTGGAAGAAGTAGACGAAGGAGAAGGAGACTCAGACGGATAAGGCCTACCGACTTGCGTGCGAGAATACGATGGCTACCTCCACAACCACAAGTACGCCTCCCAGGAGAAGACTAAATACCAACCATCACGCTCGAATTCTTCACGGTGGCGCTACATCCTCTTCCGCATCTACTCCTTGTTCTCAGTTGAAAAAGCTAAATCTGATGGATCCATAACAACCCCTGCCGCAGAAGCAGCCACTCGACGGCGGATCTGCGTTAGTTTGGGGGAAAAAATACCAAAACCGCCGCCCGAGGGGCAAAATAGAAAAAATTCAGAGGAAGGAGAGAATTCGATTTCGCCCTTCTTCTTCTTTAATTCGATTCCGATTCTTTTCGATTTTCTCCCCCTTTTTCCTTTTTCAATCGAATGGGGCGGAATGACCATTTCCCTCCTTCGCTAGGCAGCCGGAAGAAGCAACCGTTACTTGCCGATAAGCCGCACCCAAAACCGACGGAGGGGGACAGCGGCGGAGAAGAATGTAGGCGGAGGAGGGGTTAGGGGGAGGAGGCTGGAGAGGAAGAACGCGATCCAGACGAAGAGGGCGGGGGAGGTGGCGGGAGGCGCGGCGGTCTGCTGCTGCTGCCCGTGCACACTGATGAACATCGTGGTGATGGCGGTGTACAAGGTCCCCGCGGGGCTGTGCCGGAAGGCGAAGAAGCGGCGGCGGAAGAAGGGTTTTAGTCAAATAATTTTGGGGGTCTGGTCTGGTTTGGTTTTAGTTAGCGGGTCTGGTCGGGTTTGGGTAGAGGTTTGGTTAGGTTTAGCTGACATGGCGGGTTTAAATGACGTGGCGGGTCGGGTCAGTCAATTTTGGGGTTAAAAAGTGCTGATTAGGCAAATCCGTCAGCCACGTCATTGAAGTGTCAATGACTTCCTCCCCACACACACAAACAAGTCACAACTAAGTTCACGAATCGGGGAATTGAGAGGATTCTGGAGAAAAATGTAAATCAAACCAAAAGGATTTTTCTGTATAAGCTAGATGACGTATTGTGGGCCTATAGCACAACCTTCAAGATGTAAACGGACACCTCTCTTTTTTGGCTTGTGAATGGAAAGACATGTCACCTTTCGATTGAGCTTGAATATCAAGCATTTTGGGTCATCAAATTCATGAATTGTGATACACAGTTCGTGGGTCGAGAGAGACATTTGCAGGGGTTTAGTTGGAGGATACTTTTATAGAGTCTATTTCGGTATTTAAAGTTCTTTAGTAGTGCAATGGTCATATTGTCCGAGGAGGCTTAATTGACGAAAGTCAGAAAACTTTTCGAATTGTGCTCTAGAATATTGGTTAGTTACGATTCCTCACTCGAGTTCCGCATCAAGTTCTTGATGATTAATCAATATGTAGATCCAATTATTTTTATTAATCTTTTGTTAAGCTGATTTAATGTACTTCTAGAAAATAGAAATTGATTATATTCCATTAAAATTCAACATATATCGGGCTTAACCTCTTAAGTTTGTGACTTTGTCTCCGATGAGGATGAAGCTTCGGATCCATTTCATGGTTAGCACCTTATGAACACAAATTTGTTAGTTAAAACCAAGAATGTCATAAACTAAATGGTCTCAACAATTCGAGTTGTTGGGAAAGACCCATGTATGATACTTAACCACTTGCTTACACGCCCCCTCAAATGAAAGCCGACTTATGGGCTTGAAGTTTGCACATGTCCGCCATACCATGTGCTTGAAAGACAACAATTAATATTGGGGGTCGTGAGCACTTGAACACGCGACCTAAAGGACAAACCAACTCTGATACCATGTGATAAACCAATTGGTTCCAATAACTCGAGTAGTTAGGAGATGCCCATATATAATATTTAACCACTTCCTTACAAAGAGCTATAATTGAAAGAAAGACACAATTATGTAAAGAAGATAGAGAAGTCAATGTGGTTGGTAGGTATATTTCAAACGCATGCATAGCATCTTGGAAAAGGGCTGCAAATACATATCTTTAGTGATAGTTATTAGTTAGGTTTCAACAATTAGGTCCAACTCATACGAATTATTTGGGTTGGGGTTTTAATAATTTTTTTTTTTATTTGTTAAGATTATAGAATTCAAAGCTTTGCCAGAATTGATATTTGCAAAAAATATTTCAATCCATAACACATGTATGTTACTCTAGTTATCACCATCATATTTGTATAATGTATATGTATAAAATATATTTTGCTTTGTCATTCAACTCTCGCCAGATAAATCTATGCCCCAACCTAACATCCGTTGGGATTTTGTTTCAATGTGAACAAGTGGTGAACGATCTGGAACATCCCAATTCCAACTAGGCGGATCATTCCGCATTTGACAGGTGTGAACTCACAAAAGAAGAAAAAAGAATGATCATGTTGGCTGCAAGCTAGCGCATGCATCTTTAGCTGTCGACGAGAGATGGAGGTATTTTATAATGTCCACGAGTATCGGTGTTTTTAGATACGAGTCGAACTTGTATCGGTTCATTTTGTAAATATTGAGGAATTTGTACGAAAAGTTATAGAAAAATTTATACAGAAATGTATAGCTGCAATGTGAATTTGTAGGAAAAAAATTGAGTTTTTATCATAAGATTAAAGTACACGTTTAATTTGTACCGTAAAGAAATTTATACGAAAATATCTAAGTACAAGATGAATTTGTATCATAACGTTAAATTACCCTATTTGATCTTGTCTTGCACCCATGAAGCTTCAGCCACTGGGCTCTCTTTTTTAAGTCGGATAGTCTCTACTGGATTTTAATATAATTATTGAATATATATTTATATTTTGAAAAGATGAAATATCTAAGGCAAACAATAAGTTAGTCCACTTGGTGGTTAAAAAAACTTTTTCTTTGTTTTCTGTTGGTTGTACTTGTTTTAATTTTTGTGCTTTGTTCCGGTCGATGGCAATGTTGATGTAACTCGTGTTTTCTTGGTAATGCAAGCGATCTTTTCATTAAAAAAGGAAGACACACCTAGTTTTAGATTTTATCTCTTTCATACTATAACTAGTATGAGCGTTGGATTATTGATATATGTTGGAGAGTGCATTCTAATGATTCGAATTGGCAAATTTAGAGCTAGCTTAAAGTTCACGTACACCTAAGTAATACAGCTTCTACATAAAAATAATTGTGAGTATATTGAGGTTTGTGAATATTCGAACACGAGGCCACGTATGTCGGCGAATCTGGAAAATGATTGCATTGTGATTTTTTGAGTTGGCCAATTCAAAGCTTGGAGTTTACATTCACCAAATACATGCCTTGTGCTTAAATTTAATTGCGAGAATTCATGTTAGTGGATATTCAAGCACAATAGCATTGATGTTGGTGAGTGTAATGACGAAGGAGTGCATTCTAATGATCTACTCAAAGCTTGAATTTGCACAACCCTGTATACCTTGTATTTAAATTAATTGTGAATGTTGAGTTATGTGGATATTTGAACGTGAAACATCGAGACCTTTTAATTGAAACATCTAATATAATGTCAAAAACCAATGAATTCTAATAATTATTAGTTATGAATCCAATTTGCCTGGGGTGGGGAGCATTGGCGGATCCAGAGGGTGGTCACCCCGGGCCCCGGCTCAGCCCTCTTCTAGATCCGGAGTTAGAATAATCCTTATAAATTTGTCGGTTTTAGTCATTCAGCCAAGTGTTATTTTATAATATGATTGTGTATAATTAGAAAAATGATTCAGATGAACATATTCAATTCACTACTCTAAATTTATCCTAGAAATTCTAGCCCCAAAGGTTTTTCGTTTAAAAAAACAATGAAAACTAAAAATCCTAAAGTCTAAAGCGTAAAAGACTAAAAGAAATATGAGGTTTGTTCCCTTAAAATTTTACTAGAGCAGCATGGTGGATATAGGGATGGACACACAGTGCAAATTGATTAGTCAATTGATTTGTCTAGTGTTGATGCTTCTCGTTTCAACAGCTACCATGGAGAGAACCTTTTCAACAGTGAAACATGTTAAAACTGATTTGCGCAACAAAATGAGCGATGAATTTCTCGCTGATTGCTCATGTATTTTATTTGAAACATAGTTGGTATGGATGTAGATTTAATTATCGATGTATTTGCTAAATTAAAAGACCGTCGTGTACAATTGACATTGTAAAAAAAAACTATAATCATAATTTTTTTTTTACGATATCGAATTTTCCAATGAAATGCGGCCCAGTGCTCTACTGTTCTGGATCCGCCGCTGGCGGGGAGATGGAGGAGGTAGTACCGTAGTAGTAGGTCAGATTCAATGCAAACTTACTTGGATGGATGGATAGACCAATGTGACAAAAGCGAGTCCATTATTAATCCACGTACAGCCTTAGTACGGTTTTGACAACCAATCCTCACTCTATACATGAATATGATGATGATTATGAAGGCCAAACATGAAAGTAAAAGAAGAAAGAAGAGAGAAGCTAGGCAGAGGAGGACAAGAGTTCAATTTCCGTATCCCATGAATGATTATGGTACTTTCCATTGCCAGCTGATAAGCTTTTGTTAGGTTGCAACTTTTACAACCATCAGAAATGGCCAATGGCGCCTGCTCCATCTATTCATTGTGTGCCAGCTAGCTCTCTGGACTCTAGCCTGGCTTGTATTTAGTGACAGGACAAATTGGCTCTATTTGGTTCAGATTTTGGATCGAATTGATCCATCTGCTGGATAAAATGTAGAAGGAGGGAGGAGAAGGATTGAAAATGCATGCAATTCAATTTGGGTTAATTCATTTCTTCGTATTTGATCTATGTAAAACTCAAATCAAGTCTATTTATAAAACCCATCAGATCCAGTTCATCTCAATAATATTAGTTGTTGAAAAAAAAAAAAGAATAAAAACCTAACTCATGAGTTTGAACTTTGTTTGGACACGTCAAACCTTGTGGTGAATCAAATTTATAGTTCATATTGAATGTCCCAAGGGTTTATGTTAGAGAGGTATAAAATCCAGCAAAATCAACCAATCGAACAGCTAACCAATACTAAAACACGTCGGGGAGGGGAAAAGTATATATAAGGAACATCACGCTATACAAACACGACTTACATTATAAGAGGAGACATTGGTTTACCATTAGTTAATCATGGCTTTCTCTAGCGAACAATTTAAACCGCCTTTTTCAGAACAACGATTCATGATAAAAATCATTTCTGGCTGGAGTTGTTTATGCTTGATCGCGTCTCTCGTCAAATGCGAATATTATAATACCAAATACTGATAATTAATTAACTAACTAGCTCATCTCAAATTGATGGGGAAAAAGATCCCATTATCCTGTCGTATAGCATTTCCCTTCCGCACAAGTATCTGAAAATGCGTTGCTGCCTCTTTTTTATGTGATAAAAGAAAAAATTGTTGCTTGAGCAACAGACCAACCTTAAAATAATGCATGGGGGAAGGGAAGGGAAGGCAGCCCCAATAATTGCAGTAATTTATTTATTAATCCGGTTCTTGCTCTATTATCTTTGAGCCACACCACCAGATTCGGTTTCCCCGTACCAGATTTTCACTACAGGTGTCGTCGTTAACTCACAATCTCAAGGACAGATGGATTAACACGATAGCTCAGAGAAGTTTGGAACTCTTGCCTGCCTGTTACTACTTTTTTCTTTCAATCAATGATTGGCAGAGTAAGTGAGTGAGTGACGATGTGGTTGATAATGACTCCACTGATTTCAACAAGCAACGATGATGATGGAGGCGGGGGGGAGGGGAAATTCTTCTTTTATTTTCTCTCATATATTTTTCATGGGTTTCCTATTATACTAATATATGTGATCGGATAGAGACAGAGGAGAAAGGGAGCATCACTACAGCTACATGATGATGATGATGATATATGTGGAGGAGGAAATTGGGTCACCATTAACAATTTGTGTGATCATAACAAGAGCTTCCATGGATGGATGGGAGCCAATCCATCAATCAATGATTTCAACCTTTTTTCCTTCTGTTTTTTTTCTGTGATCCCCAAGTTTTGTTTTTGGGGGGTGGGGGTGGTTGATTTTGGTGAAATTAAGCTGTGACCGATTGTTCAACAGCAACTTTGTCTGAAGGTGATTTGATGGTAACAATGTCTGCTAATTCCCAGAGCTCAGGAATCGCCTCCCTCAGGTTGTGGATGCTCTCCAGTGCGTAATCCGCTCCTTTGACCCGCTGCGAGGTCCCAACCAGCACGGTGTGCAGCCCGACCCGCTTCCCGGATTGAATGTTCCTCACGCTATCTTCGAAGAACAACTGGAACAACAACCGATTGTTAGAAGAGGACAAAGTTGGATTCAAATGTTGTTTGTTTGTTAGGCTAGGCTTTGCTTACGGTTCTCTGTGGGTTGAGATTGGCGATCTTGAGGGCGCGTTCGATGGCGGCTTCCGATGGCTTGCACACAATGGGTGACTTGGGGAGTAAGGTACTGTTGTTGTTGCTGTTAGGGTTATTGGCGAAGTGAGCAATAATGTCGAAGATTTCAGCAGGGGCAGGGGAATTATTGTGGTGGGTTGGAGGAGGAGCTGTTGTTGCGTTGGCGGCGGATGAGTCCGGGCCAACGAAAGCGACGTCGTCCTCGTCATCAGAAGCTGCGGTTTTGTGGGTGGGATTAAGTGTCTCGAAGCAGATTATCCCTTCGAAGCAATCCTCTAATCCCAGCCTGCTCAGCGCCTTGAGTGCGTGAACTTTGTCCGCATTCGTGAATATCTGCGTTTTTTGTTTTTTTTTTACCGTCAGTGAAAAGTAACGAAGAATATGAGAATGTTTGGGGTTAAAATTCTGTTTCAGCACTTACAACTTTGCGGAATGGGAGGCTCAGCAGCAGGCTCCTAAGAACAGGGTCGGGCTTCAGATTCTCGTAAGGTAATCTGCCATGAACGAAGCTGGGGAAAGAAAGGGGAAAAAAAAAACAGAGGATCCAAACGTGATTAGATTTGATAAGACTAGATGTTTCAGCTAGATTGATCGATTAATTTGTATCTAATTTTACCTGTGGTACTCATCATAATCGAAGTCGTAGCCAATGGCCCGGAGACCAGCCATGGTTGTGCCGAAGTTTTTGTACAGCAGATTGCCTAGCTCCACTATTTTGTTCCTGTCAATGCCCAAGTGCTCCACCATGTAATCTGCAACGAAAACACGGAAACACCCAAATTTCAGAATTTGAAAATTATGAGACATGTATTGATTAATCGCCGCCATTAGAGAAAGCTTGGAGACTTGCCTTTGATGTTCTGCCCACATGCTGCTGCAAGACCAGAGCTGTAAGGATAAAGGGTATCATCTAGATCTGCAAACATAATTCATTTCCAATCAATGGGGTCAGTTAAGCTGAAATTAGTGAAACTGAAATGATTAGTTTTCCAGGGTAGCAAAGAGAACTTACCGAATAGAAGGCAATCGTATTTGGGCCTCTGTGCTTGAAGGTAGCAGTTTTCGTACTCCATCTTGAGCGATTAACCTTGACAGGGGAAGAAAAAGATTACAGAAAATGGCGAGGGATCAATGGCAAGCAAGTGAACAAGACTATAAATACTAAGTAAGGCCAACTGAAGGAAAAGTGACTATTTGTGGCACTTTGTCGACTCAGATCAGCACCAAATAAACAGGGGACGGTCGATAAAAGGAGTGGGCAATCCATGGCCCCAATTCCATGCAAAGCGGGGAGGGAAAAAGGGATAAGGCGTAGTTAGTGAGTGGACAATCCACGACTGAATGGAACTGAATCATTCGGTGATGAATTGGACCAATGACTTTCTGATGCTGGATTCTCTTTCCAATTTGGCGTGTAAGGGTTTTGCGAACTCAGAAAGGTCCGACTTGTAAAATGAAACTTTGTCTTTCCAAAAAGCAGAAAAAGGGGGCGCCTTTTGTGTGTTTTGGGTGATTGGTTTCAGGAAACTCAATTGTTTATTAGCAAAAAAAGGAGCTGCTTGCTTCCTTCAATGGCGTACAGTGAAAAACAGGGGAGAGAAAAGAGTTGGGAACTTTTGAACATTGATCTTCCATGGTTCTTAACAATTAAGTCACAAGAAAAAATGAAAGCCCAGAAGGTGAAATCCTTCATACTTTGATGGGTTGGAATCGAAAATGGGAAACTCGAACCAGAGACAAGCGTGGAAGAGGGGAAATTTATTCCAATCTACCTGGGTGTTGGAGCTTTTTTTCTTTCACTCTGTTTTGTCCAAGGACAGAGCAGGGGAAAGAGAAAACAGGGGCGATCGAGAGAGAAATGGAACAGTGGTGATGTGAAGAGGTAAGAGGGAGAGGCGGGGGGAGGAAAAACGGAGGCCTGGGAAAGGGTTTATATAGCCCGTGAAATCCATTGGCTGTCCTGTCATCTTCTTCCTCTTTGCTTCTTCTATCTTTCTGAATCTTATTTTAAAACTCTCCTCTCCTCTCCTCTCTCTCTTTTTTCTTCTTCTTTTTGTTTGGTCCAAACTTGTTATTAACTTAACCACGTTTTGTTAGCTTTCCCTCAAAGGGTAGGGTATTATTTATTTTACAAGACCGGTTAAGAACGTAACAAGAAGCTACTTCCCCAAAAGTATATTGGGTAGGCTAGAAGGCTGGTCATCCGATCATCCTCCTAGTCAAGAAAAACACCCTATTATTTGCGGTGCTTGTATCGACGCTTTCGGAGTCTAAATTGGTAGGCGGTTTTTAACGGTATGAAATAATTGAATCGTGATTAAACTACAATTTCAATTTAAAATATGTTATCGCCGTTGATTTTTCCGGTACGACCTCTTATTTTTAGTACAAATACTAGAATTACATGAAATGCCAGACATTTTGTTTGAGGAACAAGTGGGAAGATATAGACCACATGTACTCCAAAATTTCACTTAGTCACAGTCACGTTAAAGGGATATTTTTGCTATTTCATAAATGAAACTTCAAGAAAGTTGGTTTGTTTGTTTGGAGAATTGGGAAGGCAACAGGAAGCTGGGACCTGCTTTACAGCTTCAAGCACTCCCAACTTTTTGAAGTGAAATATGGAAAACAGGGGAAGAGGCTCTGCTTCCCTTGCTCTGTTTTTTAGGGCGAACCCTTTCCCGAATTCCCTTAAACAATCAGCTTCGTAGGCCAATAACACGTGAGAAACAATATAAAATAAAGAAACAAAATACATATATATATGCATTCATACATCCTGTGATAAAGAGGATCACAGCTGTACAAAAGGGTAGGGAAGGGGGAAGCAGAGCAAAGTGTGTTGAATGACAGCTAAAAAGATGAATTTGGGTAGAGATATTTTGACGCAACCAGAAAATGATTTGTTAAGTTTTGACAAATTGTTATTGTTTAGCTTTTATCGTTTTACCGTCTTAGTGCGCTTGTGTGAAAAAGAAGTGCCCCATAGAGGTAACTTGTGAAAGTGAAACCACAAATTGTCTGTGTGTGGGATCTTGTCGTGCATCAGGTGTTTTCGGCTCATATGTGTATCCTAATAATTCAATCAATTTTGTTTTTACTAAGATAATATTGATTAAAAAAAGATATCGAACGCATGACACTCTGGTATACACCAAGGACTGAAAATCAAAAGAGCGACACGTAGTAAGGTACAAAGAAAAGGTCTTTCTAGCAACAAAGCGGGTTACCCTAATTGTTATTCCAACCTACAAATCGTACGTTAAGAACATTACGAAATTGTCAACAAACAAAGAACTTCCTCGAGAATGGCTCCAAAGTGATTAGCATGTTTATCGCCTTGGTTTATCTTATTAATGACCACTTTCGCACCCCCTTCAAAACGAACCTACGAGATGCCACAATCCAAGACAGTACTGGATGGCCGCGAAGGAGGACTAATAGTTCTTCCATCGGTGGGTCATCAATTTTATCAATATGAACTCTAGCCAAGACAATCGACCCACTCTAGTCTTTTATAACCATTCCTCCCACCGAGTGTGATTCATTCCTTGTTGCACCATCCGACCTAAAAGTAAGCGAGACAAGGTTTGAAGCAATCGCGCTCTCAATTTAGTTGGGGGGAGGGGGGGAGCTGATGTCACTCTATCAGTTGGTAAACCGATATATTCATTAACTTGTTGATGATACTGTTGCATCATAGATATAAACTACAATTGTTTATCTTCAAAGACAACCCAATTCCTAGATTTCCAGATCCGTCAGAGGGCCGCGACAACAATCATACTCTGATGGGGTTGATTGAGCAATAACATCAACTTTTTGAGAAAAAGTAGGAAGTTTTGGCGAGGGAGACCTTGGCCTAGATATTCTAGGCCAAAGTGTTCCCATATTCCCTTGCCACTGGACAGTCAAGAAAGAGATGCTCCATTGTCTCCGAGTCCGCCATGCATACCGAGCATCGAGGTAGCACTTGAACCTCCTACTCAATCAGAGCTTTCGTGGTTGGGAGAATGCGATTGAATATTTGCTAGAGAAAAATCGTAAACTTTGGTGGGATTGGGAGCTCCCAAATCCGAATCCAACTTGATCTATCCATCCAACTGACAGTCTGTCGCCACCTGCTTCGCCTATGATCAATCATGGTCCCTAGGTGATAAGCATATTTAACGATGAACACTCCATCAATGGTATCATGCAATATTAGTGAGTCCTCTATATCCTAACGAGGCAGTGGGATTTCTTTATTTGTTCGCACTGCCTCTAGCGGGAACAAGTGTTTGAGTATCTCCTCATTTCATCGCCTTCCCCTGGCATCATTAGTTTTGCTAGTGTTGGATCACTTTCCTCTGGTATCACCTTGGGTGTGCAGGGGGCGTGTAGATGCAACCTAGGAATCCAGCTGGAATTCTTAATGAATGTTGTATGACCATTGCTGATTAGTCAGCGCAACAGTTTCTAGCGAAATTGGCGACCATAAAGGATACCCTGCCAACCCAATGAGGTTTGTGAATGCGCCATAGTAGTGAAGAAGGACCCTGTCGAGAAATATTTTCCCTTATGGACCTGGACCAGGAGGGACTAAGGTTGGTTAAGGATCCTCCGCCCAATTTTAGCCAAAAGGGCTGATTAAAATGCTCGAATCGTCGAAAACTCATTCTCCCATCATCTTGCTCCGAGACATATTTTGCCAAGACATCCATCAAATGCGGGACTGGCCCCCGAAAGATGTTTTTCATTGTTTTTCTATTCGAGCGAGTGAAAAGATGCGTAAGAAAGTAAAATCAAATACAAACAAAAATATTGGTTACAACAATAATAAAAGAAAAAAGAACCTCTTAGAAAAATAGCAACCCTAAATTATGGAAAAACAAATGAAAGATAAATAAAAGATACAAAATAAAATATAATATCAAAGAAAAATAAAAAATGGACCTATTTGGAGATTACTCATAAAGTTTGCAATAATTATGGTTGAACGCTTTGTGAATAGTGTATTGGGAATTATGCTTTTTATATATCAACAATGATTTAGCGTTGGGGAAGTAGACATTTGTAGAGATTGAAAAATCAAAGTGACGACAGCAAATGGGATTATTAGTTTTATCTTGGGATTCATTTTTCCTTTGTTTGGGACAGGAGTGGTTAATTTTTCGTGTTTATACCAAAGTGGTGCAATGAAATCAGACATCATAAAACGATAATCTACATTTGGCGGATTGGCAAATATAAAATTTCGTAAATTGCAATGAAAAATTTAGAATTAATAGCATATAACCTCCTATACTATAGATGATAACAAATGAACCCATGTATTATGGATATATAACAAAGGAGTCCCTCTATTTTTCCGTTTACCCGATCTCAGTATATTCATTTTACCATTATCGGCTCCCCAATTCTCATCCCTCTCATCTCACCCCTCTGCCGTATATCAATTTATCAAAAAAAAAAATTATGAACCCCCAAATCCACCGCCTACTGTCACATGTGGCAGATGACATGGCGCCAACAAGGTGACAACATGGCAGCAGCACATGTGGCATGCATGGAAGACTAGTAGCATAGAGATGCTCCTAGGATTCTCCACCATAATGTAGAGCTTTATAGTGCACTTATGAGTCACATAATGGTGACATTGATAGAGTGCATAATGGGGGGACTTAATGGGGTGTATTGATGTAGTAGAGGGACTTTATGAGGGGCATTGATGCCTTGTATGTGGAGAGGCCTATATAAGGAGCCATCTCCCTCATTTGTACTCATTCCATCATTTTTGAGAGTAATACACACTAGAGAGTTCTCCCAATCCTTTGTCTTTGTTCTTGTTCTTTGCTTGCTTGTGAGTTTGAGAGAAAGGCTACCTAGCGCTCTAACGGAATTGAGAGCTAGGGCCGCACGATCGAGAGTAAGGTCGTGACAAGTGGTATCAGAGCCTGGTTGGGCTTTGTGCTAGCAAAGTTGAACCTAGAGCCAGAAGGAAAGGAAGAACCTCACCAAAGATGACTGGATCAGAAGTCCACGACGATGCGGAGAAGCACCGTGGAAGGGATACCGTGAAGAATCCCAAACCAAAGGGTGACAAGTCAAGCACTCGTGATCCTATGACGTCTCTAGAGAGGCGTGTCTCTAGAATGGAGGTGAAGTTGGCGGAAGACATCAGTGCCATCGAGGATTTGGGAGCAAACTTCACCCAAGTCGAAAGCGATTTTCAAGGTATGAATGCTCGTTTGTCGAGCTTGGAGATTGGTAATGATGGCTTACGAGAAGAGCTTGTGGCCCTCATCAACAGCACCATCACCACATCCTTGAACAACGCCATTGGAGTTGTGAAAGAGCAAGTCCAGGCTGAGCTGGTCGGCGTGAAGGAGGAGATTGCAGATCTCAAGAGTGAGGTCACTCTCGTGAAGAGAGCCATGGCTAGCGGACCAGCCACGGTGCAATCCGTCCCACGTGCTGATATTCCAAGACCGAAGAGCTTCGGAGGTTCACGGAATGCGAGGGAGTTAGAGAACTTCCTTTGGAGTCTTGAGCAGTACTTCAAGGCGTCCGGCATCCAAGAGGAGGAGGTAAAGATCCGTACCGCTCCACTATACTTGGTTGATGTTGCAATGGTGTGGTGGAGGCGACGTGAAGCAGACGTCGAAAGAGGTACTTGTGTGATGGTAACGTGGGAAGATTTCAAGAGAGAAATCAAGAGGCAGTTCTACCCAGAGAACGTGGAGTTTGAAGCCCGTTCAAAGTTGAGAAGACTCACCCAGAGGGGTGGAGTTCGAGAATACGTGAAAGAATTCTCGGAGCTGCTTCTAGAGATCCCGGACATCACGGACAAGGAGGCCATGCACGGCTTTCTTGATGGGCTGCAACCATGGGCCAAGATGGAGATGCAACGTCGAGGAGTGCAAGACCTTGCAACTGTCATGGCCACGGCGGAGTCTTTTGTCGAGTACAAACGACAAGAGAGCAGCGGCAAAGAGAAGAGTTCGAAGCCCAACAAGGGTGGAGAACAGCAGAAGCCTTTCAAGGAGGGTTCTCGCACTCAACAACACCAAGGTGGTTCGAGCAAAGGGGGTAAGTACGAGCCAAAACCCATGACTTGTTTCCTTTGCGACGGACCACATCGAGTGCGAGATTGCCCAAGGAAGGCGAGATTAGCAGCCATGGAAGCTCAAGATGAGGAGCCCAAGGCGGCGGAGGCCAAGATTGGCTCAATCCGCAAGCTTGGCGCGGCGAAGACCGACGTCAAGGAGAGCAAGCGGGGGAGGTGCTATGTTCTGGCGCAATTCATGCAAGGCGAGTCAAAAGCCTTGGTGGATACCGGTGCCACGGACAACTTTCTTCGCGTCGAGGAGGCAAACCGGCTGGGTATTGCCTACGAGAAGGGGCAAGAGAGGCTCAAGACGATCAATTCGGAGTCCATCCCGATCCATGGAGTTGCTCACAACGTACCAATGAAGCTTGGCGAGTGGGAAGGCCTCATCGACTTTTCCGTCATCACCATGGACGATCACCCAGTCATCCTCGGCATCCACTTCCTCGACAAGGAGGGAGTGCTTTTGAAGCCCAACTCCAACACGATGTGCTTGGAGAAGGAAGGGGAGTTCCATGCTGTTCATCTCTTGAGAGAAGATGGTCCCCATAGTGCTCTATCGGCCATGCAAGTGGTGAAGGGGTTCAAGAAGAATGAACCAACCTTTCTTGTGTCCTTGAAGATGGAGGAAGAAGGAGGCTCAACGGGAATCACAACTCCCATCATCGAAGGTGTCCTCGAAGAGTTCGATGATGTGATGCCATCGGAGTTGCCCAAGAAGCTGCCACCAAGAAGAGAGGTGGACCACAAGATCGAGTTGGAGCCAGGAGTGAAGCCCCCTTCGCGAGCACCATACCGCATGTCGCCACCGGAGTTAGAAGAATTGCGGAGGCAACTCAAGGACTTGGTGGACGCAGGCTACATGCGGCCATCGAAGTCACCTTTTGGAGCACCGGTGCTGTTCCAAAAGAAGAAGGAAGGGTCGTTGCGGATGTGCATCGACTATAGAGCCATCAACAAGTTGACGGTGAAGAACAAGTGGCCGATTCCCAACATTGCTGACTTGTTCGACCAGCTTGGAGATGCAATGTGGTTCACCAAGCTAGATCTTCGCTCGGGCTACTATCAAGTGCGGATAGCAGAGGGCGACGAGCCAAAGACGGCTTGTGTGACGAGGTATGGCTCTTACGAGTTTCTTGTGATGCCATTCGGTCTCACCAACGCACCAGCCACGTTTTGCACTTTGATGAATCAAATGTTCGAGCAATTCTTGGACCGGTTTGTCGTGGTCTACTTGGATGACATCGTCGTGTATAGCAAAACACTCGATGAGCATGCCGAACACCTACGCCAAGTCTTCCAAGTCCTTCGCGACAACGAGTTGTACGTCAAGAGGGAAAAGTGCACATTTGCCGCCACGGAGGTTCCATTCTTGGGACACGTTATTGGTGGAGGCAAATTGAAGATGGATGGAGCGAAGGTGCAGGCAATCCAAGAATGGGAGCCGCCGACGAAGGTGCCAGAATTGCGGTCATTCCTCGGCCTTGCCAACTACTATCGGAGGTTTATCATGGGCTACTCCGACATTGCAGCACCCTTGACGGATCTCTTGAAGAAGAACAAGGCATGGGATTGGTCGGAAAGGTGCCAGGAAGCATTCGAGGCCTTGAAAGCAGCGGTGATGAAGGAGCCCGTGCTCGTGCTCCCCAACCCGACGTTGGCCTACGAAGTGCAGACCGATGCGTCCGACTTCGCGATTGGAGGAGTGTTGATGCAAGATGGGCATCCCATTGCCTTCGAGAGTCGGAAGCTCAGCGAGACGGAGAGACGATACACCGTTCAAGAGAAGGAAATGACGGCCGTGGTGCATTGCTTGCGCACATGGAGGCACTACTTGTTGGGGTCAAAGTTCGTTGTGAAGACGGACAACGTGGCAACGAGCTACTTTCTGACGCAGAAGAAGCTCACCCCTAAGCAAGCAAGGTGGCAAGACTTTTTGGCCGAGTTCGACTTCGTCATGGAGTACAATCCAGGCAAGGCGAATTCCGTTGCCGATGCTCTTAGCCGCAAGAGTGCAGCCGCAAGCATCAGCCAGCCCACGTTTCCTTTGAAGGAGCGGATCGTTGAAGGCCTTGGCCATGACCCCTTCGCCAAAACCGTAGCGGAGTACATTGAGCAAGGTAAAACTCGGCAGTTTTGGATGAAGGATGGGCTCATCGTGACCAAGGGAGAGCGGATGTTCGTGCCAAGATGGGCCAACTTGAGGAAGGAGATCATGAAGGAGTGCCATGATTCCAAGTGGGCGGGCCATCCCGGCATCGAGAGAACGCAAGCGCTCATCGAAGAAGCATATTTCTGGCCGCGTATGAGAGACGACGTGGAGATGTATGTGAAGACTTGTCTTGTGTGCCAACAAGACAAGATGGAGCAGAGAAGCCCGGCAGGCTTGCTAGAGCCCTTGCCCACGCCTCAACGACCATGGGAGAGTGTGAGCATGAACTTCATCATTGGACTTCCCAAAGTCGATGGATGCGGTTGCATCATGGTTGTGGTGGACAGATTCTCGAAGTATGGAGTGTTCATTCCTGGGCCAAAAGACTTAACGGCGGAGGATGCGGCACGGCTATTCTTCAAGAACGTGGTCAAGTATTGGGGCATTCCTAGCAGCATCGTGAGCGACAGAGATGGGCGCTTCACGGGCAGATTTTGGCGAGAGTTGTTCAAGATCATGGGCTCAAACTTGAACTTCTCGACGGCATTTCATCCTCAAAGCGACGGACAGACGGAGCGGGTGAATGCCTTGTTGGAAGTGTACTTGCGGCACTACGTGAGTGCAAACCAACGAGATTGGGTGAAGTTGATGGACACGGCGCAGTTTTCCTACAACTTACACCGCAGCGAGTCGACCAACACGAGTCCATTTGAGTTGGCGACGGAGCAACAACCTTTGACACCTACGACGGTGGCAACGGGGTATAGAGGCAACAGTCCGGCAGCCTACAAGTTCGCTAAAGGTTGGCACGAGAAGATGGAGATGGCCAAGTCTTACTTAGCCCGCGCTAGTAAGAAGATGAAGAAATGGGCGGACAAGAAGCGGCGGCACTTGGAGTTTGAAGAGGGAGACATGGTGATGGTCAAGTTCTACCCTCATCGCTTCAAGCATCTCAAGAACGTGCACAAGGGACTGCTTCGCCGCTATGAAGGGCCATTCCCCATCATGAAGAGGATTGGCAATGTGGTATACAAGGTAGAGCTGCCGACGCACTTGGAGATCCATCCGGTCTTTCATGTGAGCCAACTCAAACCTTACCACGAAGACAAGGAGGACGAGCAGCGAAGGGAGCCGCAGCGCGCACCAACACTCGTCACCAAGACACACGACCATGAAGTCGAAGAAATCATGGCGCGTCGTGTCATTCCTCGTCGCGGCATACATCCAAGCTTTGTGGAGTACTTAGTCAAGTGGCGCAACCTTCCGGAGAGTGAAGCAACATGGGAGAAAGAGCTCACGCTTTGGAAGAACAAGGACTTGATCGAGGCATTCCATCAAGAGGACGCGACGAGGGCGTCGCGAGCATAGGTGGGGGAGGATGTCACATGTGGCAGATGAAATGGCGCCAACAAGGTGACAACATGGCAGCAGCACCTGTGGCATGCATGGAAGACTAGTAACATAGAGATGCTCCTAGGATTCTCCACCATAATGTAGAGCTTTATAGTGCACTTATGAGTCACATAATGGTGACATTGATAGAGTGCATAATGGGGGGACTTAATGGGGTGTATTGATGTAGTAGAGGGACTTTATGAGGGGCATTGATGCCTTGTATGTGGAGAGGCCTATATAAGGAGCCATCTCCCTCATTTGTACTCATTCCATCATTTTTGAGAGTAATACACACTAGAGAGTTCTCCCAATCCTTTGTCTTTGTTCTTGTTCTTTGCTTGCTTGTGAGTTTGAGAGAAAGGCTGCCTAGCGCTCTAACGGAATTGAGAGCTAGGGCCGCACGATCGAGAGTAAGGTCGTGACACTACCCATAGGCCATAGCAAAGAGAACCATATATGCGCCATTGCGGATATTGAATGAATACACTTTTAATTTTTAGTCTTATCATATGCATCATTATAGTTTGTAGGTAGTTGGTTACAATTTCTTTTAATATGTCAATCAATAATTTGTAAATTATAAATAAAAACTTGTAAGGTCAACCATTCTCAATTAGAAGCACTTTAATTTTCACTCTAGATTAAAGAACTATTTCAGTAATTTATTCATTTTTCTCCCAGAATGGCCCCTATTGTACTATCCCTCCGACCATCAATGTCAGAGGACCGAATTTTTTTATTAGAGTCAGAAGGTCGGATTAGCATAAAGTGTAAGAGTGTGATAAGGTGCCAGCTGGTAGAAGGTCTCTGATTGGAAAAATCAGGCTGGTAAAAGCTCAATTTATGGCCTTAAAACAATCGACTAACTTTGACAAAAACGGATGGAGTCGAAGCAAAATTCAATAGAATCGACAATACTGTTTCAGAAACATTGCTTAGATTTAGCTAGTATGAGAAAATCCCAAAATCTTAAGCAAGTTTCATTTGGAGGGACTTCCCATAGGGGATAGCTAGGATTACCATATCCCTACTTCCTAAGGTTGTAAGTCTAGCCCTAGATATCCACTGATTCAGGCCGACCTGACCTTGAGGGTTAGCTTGTGTCAGTTTAGAGTTAGGTCATCTTATTATCCTGTATGTCGGGTCATTTTTTGTTCCTATGACCCATAGCAAGAACTAGTGGTCTATATGATACTTCTTATATAAACACATAAAGTTACCAGCAAAATTTAGGTAATATAATACAAGGTAAAGAAATATTAAGGTACTAAAAATGTAATATTACCAGCCTAATTAATGGACTTTTTGTAAAAACATAAAGTTAAGATACTAAATTGTTAGAAAAAATAAGTTTTAGTACAAAAATGCAATTTTCAAGAAACAATGTGTTAAACCTGGCAAATTACGGCATATGATCCGTTGTCCTGGCCCGAACCTGCCCAAAAAATAGAAGTTGTTATAATCTGAAATCCGAATGACCCAAATCTGAATAACCCGCTATTTTTTGGGTCGGGTTGGGTGGTTAGCGGGTCGATCCATTAGACCCGTTCCATTTCATATGTCACTCCCAAAATTATAAAATTACTCATGAATTGGTGTGATGTTTAAAAAATACACAAGGGTTTGAAAGACATGTTTGGAGTTTAAGAATAATCAAATATGGTGGCTACTTCGGTGCACTCACTTTTTTGGGTGCATTCAGTGCACCCAACTATAAAGATGGTCATAGTACATCAAAATTTGAACTTTAATTGATAAAATTAGTGTAATACTATGATATAAAATAAAATCATAACCATCCAACCCATTGCCCTAACATCTTGACTTTCAATTTTGAATTCCAACCTAAAACCCGAAATTGTAAACCTAAACCATAACCCTAAATCTCTAAACCCTATATCATTGAAATTAAAGTAAATCTTGAATGATTTTTGTACAAATTCATGTATTTTCTTGTCCATCATATCATACGCGACGATTACCATAATTTTTAAACGAATCGTTTGCTAATAATAACGATTATGAGTGCACCCAAAAAAGTGAGTGCAATTGAATACGCACCAATCAAATATAATGTGTTTCTTGTAGTAGTATACTTTTGTTATTATTTTTGACGATTTGTGCAATTTATATTTCATTTCATTAGTACGAGAGGATTTAAAAATATGTTAATTGGCATGTGTTAGGTAAACTATTTTCATGCATATGTGAAGATTTGTGCTCTTTACAAAAATATGAAGCATGTTTGATATTGTTTCTGAGAGCGCTCGTAACTCGAAATGATTTGTAACCCGACTCGAAACCCGATAGGTTGGGTCAATATTTGATCCGAAATAAGTAATTCCAATATGACCTGACCCATAACCCGATACCCCAACCGTAAATTATCCAATCCGACCCGATTACTAAGTCCACAATGCGTTATTAATGTGAGTCAAACCATTAGCTCGAGCCCTACCTGCACGGGGCCAGATAGGGTTAAAGGAGAATAGGGTCAAGCCATCGAGATGAATGCTTGACCCTATCAAATTTTTTAGAGTTGTGGCAGGATTAATGTTGGAGTTGGCCGCCAAAGGTAACACAGGCGAGTTGGTCGGGAGTGTGGTCTCTCGGGCTTGAGATACCTGAGGTCTCAGGTTCGAATCCCACTACACCACTTGGTGTTTCCGGAGGCACCGCGAGTGCTGGAGACGAAATCTCCCCCCCCCCCCCCCCCCCAGTACCGGGTGTTAGGCCTTCAAAATGTTGCTGATGCAGGTACTCCCCAGATTTAGTAGACAACGTTGCCACTAAGTGACATGTTGGGTTGAGGTTACTCGGTAATAAAAAAAATTAACAAGAAAGAGTTTTTTTGTTGTTGTTGTTGCAGGCGGTGCGCGTGAGAGTTGGTGATGAAATGAGATAGCTTTTTTTTTTTTTTTGCCAGCAGATAACTCGTATTACCGAGAAACAAAAGATACATAGTCTGAAAACAATCAAAGTGACCAAAACCAAGCAAAAAAATCAAAGGGTTTTTCTTGCCACCAGATGGGCAACCCTGTTTCTAGAACGACCAATAAAAGCACAGTCAAAATGCTGAAATGACGCTCGGAGTAGCTGAATCTCCTGAAGAACAACTCCCCCAACTGCATCATGAACCTCACCATTCATAACCTTCTTTAGCACCACCTGCGCATCTCCTTGGAAGACGACTGAAGTCCACCCTCTATCCGCACACCAACGAACTGCATCCCCTAAAGCAAGCAACTCAACCAGAAACGGTTGAAACACACCAGAGTAACGCCGAGCTGAACTCGCAACGATCGATCCTCTCCCATCCTGAACAACCCATCCTCCTGCCCCATGAGACCCATCCTGCACTGCACCGTCAACAAAACAAAGTAAAGCACCCGACACAGGACCTCCATGCGGGGCCGAAATGGACGGAGGAAGCGGACGCGGAGCAACCTCCCGAGGATTGTCAATCCATTCATTCACTTGCAGAGAGAATTGAAAGGCTAGAGTAGGATGCAAGACCTGAACAAAATCAAAAACCACACTATTCCGCGATTTCCAAAGAAGCCAAAAAAGAGCAACCAGTTGCATAAGCTCAACACTACCAAAACTCGGCCGCTCCAACACCGATCGCCAAAACATAGCTATACTCCCCGTAGGTATCCCCTCCCGCAAATGCTGTAAACCCGTCAAATCCCAAAGGGTACCGGCCACAGGACAACGAAAGAAAAGATGCTCCACCGTCTCATCCTCCTCCCCTAAGCAAACTGGACAAACCCACCCATTCCCAATCCCCCGCACCCAAAGTGCTTCCCCTGTTGGAAGCACCCGTCTTAGCATTTGCCAGACAAAAAATCGGAGCTAGGGGGGATAGGCAGACCCCAGACTTTCCGCCACAATCCTCTATCAAAAGGAGAACAAGAATCTCGACAAATACGAGGAGGATGCTGCAAGGACTCTGCAGCCAAATGATACCCCGATTTAACCGAATACACACCAGACGCCCCAGGGTGCCAGACCAAACGATCCTCAATGGGGAAACAATTAAAGGTGAAGAATTTTACAAGACACGACACATTTTCTTTCAGGTATAAGTAGAATTTATAAGAAAGTAAATGCTAAATTTGTATAAAAAGAAATTTGTGTAAAGATGTATAGGTATGAATTGATTTTGGACGATAATATTATGAGCTTTTTTGAAGAAAAAAAACATGTTACATGACATCGTTTATTATCTTATTAATTAATGTACATGGGTTTATATGATCACTATTCATCCAGAAATTATTCTTATATCATCGGGTGAATCGAAGTTTTTTTTCTTTAGTAGGAGTTCTAATTCAATAAAATTGTTCTTTGTTAAATTACTGGTGGTCAAGTAATTGGGTGCTTGAAAACAGAAAATGTAGAACTCTATATAGACACCTGAAAGAGTGTGAAGTAATTGTTCCTTCTACAGATAAAACATAAAAGGATTCACCTGATAAAAAGTTAGAGACTCTATGGATTTTGTTTTTGCTATAACTCCTTGGATTGACTTAATTAATATTAAGTTAGATTATTTTAGTGAATTAATGGTTCCTTCTACAGATAAAACATAAAAGGATTCACCTGATAAAACGTTAGAGAGTCATTGGATTTACTCACTATTAAGTTGGATTATTCGAGTAATTTTGGACCATTGAATTGGTAGCTATAATTATTTTTAGCTATTGATAAAATAACATAAAGGGAATGAACAAGCCTGGTAACTCTTCTTCTGTTCCACACCAATAACATAAATATTACAATAATATAGTTTTTCTATACACCTTGACTCGATGAACACCTTCGACTTCACATAGCAAAGACGGTTAGCTTCCGATATGCCAAATAGATCGGCCCAACACTTTATACGGACACCGTGAGTCGATGAAGAAGACGAATCATTCCTAAAACCCGCCGTTAAAGTAGAAGCACTCATTAGAAACAAATAATTGCACTCATAACACATAAGCTTCCCCTACAATTTTCATATCAACTTGTATCATCCCGAATTTTATTGTACATATTTTGTCTGAGTAATTCAAGTCAACTTTTAGTTAAAAGAAATATTATGTCAAGGTTTGAGAGGGGTAGAGATTATGGCTATGTTTGGCCATGCGAACACAAATATTTGTCGGAGTTTGTAGAGAAGTGCATTTGGATAAAGCAATTTGTTATTTGGTTAATAAACTATTGTCCCGTGGATCCAAATCCAATCAATTACCCTATCTTTCTCAATAGTCCTTATACAAATGAAATTTGTATTTCTACAAAATCAAATTCAATTGCTTTGCTAGAATACTTTTCAGATTCAAAGTATCCTCTTTTTTTTTGCTCCAATTTTATGTAGCCTCAATTTGAAATTGAAATGTCAAACAATCTATGTCATTCAAATTGTATGGTGTGATTTTGATACATTCTATGCATCCTATCATAATACAAGGAGGAGAACTTTTTAATATAAGAACTCATGTAAATTACTAAAAAGTACTTTTCAGATTTTTCAAAAATCCTATTTATAAATATGTTTCACCTAATTTGAACAAACACTTAAAGAAAATCTGATCAAACATAGAGTATATATATTCATTTGTATTTCAATCATTCTACGATTTTTTATTTTTACAAAAGATAATCATATATTGATTCAAAGAGAGATCATTACATCCTGGAGGTCCACCAGGCCAGAAAATCAAAAGAACGACCAGTAGACGGGTACATAGAAATGACTTTGCGAGCAATCGAGTGGACTAACCTATTACTACTCCGATCTACAAATCGAACACTAAGTCCATCATGAATCATATATCACGATTATAGTGTTCCTTTGGTATTATCAATTGTGCGGTTGGTTTTAATTTTCAGCGTATAGATTGGGATGGTGAGAAAGACCTTAATGACAATTGGCAATCCAAAACAACCTCATAGATTGATAATTGGGGGCTGATAACCCCTCCGGAATGCATGATTCATATGTATACAAACGGGGCGATACCCCTCATATAATTGAAGGCAAAGACAAAAGAAGTCACGTACTTTTCTTCCAATTATTTTATGCTGACCTAGAATCTATGATGATAACCTGCAAATAATTGATGAGTGTGTTAATAAAGAAAGCAATTTTGGAGAAAAATTCTTAGAAGACACGTAATTAGTCAATATTTAAATCCTTTAGAATTGTATCTACAAAGAGTGTATAGTTGAGGGGGGAAATATAATTTTAAGGGTGTTAGCTTGTCATTTACGGTATATATATAACCATACATAACCTTATATTTACTATTTATTGAACATATTTAATTTTTCCTCCAATTAAGTTTATTGGAATATTTCCTTTACATATTTAAGTCAATTAGCTTTATCACAGAAAAAATTAGAATAATTGTACTCCCAAAATGACATGCACTGTAATATATATTGGAACATAAAAATTAAGACATTTATTTTCGGTTCATATTTCGTACCATATGGTAATGTTTGGTAGTATAGAAGATCATACCACGTGGTATGGAAGCGTATCACGGTAGTTGGATTCATATAACAGAGTATATAATGGTTGTATACTTGACAGTAAAAATATGCTAGTAGCCATTTATCACTTTTCATCACCATATATCACCCTATACTAGGATGGTATTGGTCTTGAAATTTTTTTCCATAAATTTGTTGGAACAGTAGATCGTGATGAACTCGTTCTTTTAAGGAATTTTTTCCAACATTCGAGTTAAAACTGAAGGTGGTACCAAAGTGATAGATAACAAGTCGTATAAGTGGTACGGTAATTTTTTTTTAAATACATTGAAAATGGATATCATGTTGTAGATCAGAATGAACTCGTTCCATCTGTGCAAAAATATTGAACTTCAATTTATAACAAAGAAGATAAAAACCCATTACAAAAATAAAAAGTCGTTTAATTTGACATGTTTTATCTGATTTCACTTTAAATCAATAGACAGTATCTGTTTATGCAAGAATTATCCATAGTATGCTATGGTTATTCACCATATCTTAAACGGTTGCCATGTAAGGCTTGTCTTTGTAAAAAATGTCATATTAGTCTTGGCTCGTAATGGCTAAACTTCTGGAATCTTTACACGCCTTAAGTGTTTTTTGATAACGTAAACATAGAGAACCATCTGGATTATGTTCTATTAACATTCGAGTTAAAACTGAAGGTGGTACCAATGTGATAGACAACAAGTGGTATAAGTGGTACGGAAAAAAATAATCGAAATACATTGAGAATGGATATAATTTTGTAGATAAGAACGAACTCGTTCCATCTGTGCAAAATTTGAACTTCAACTTAAAACAAAAAAAGATAAAAACCAATTAAAAAATAAAATAAAAAGTCATTTAATCTGACATTTTATATCTGGTCTCACTTAAAATCAATAGACTATATCTAATTATGCAAGAATTATGCATAGTATACTATAGTTATTCACCCTATTTAAACGGTTGCCATGTAAGGCTTGTCTTTGTAAAAATGTCATCTTTAGTTTTGGCTCGTAATGGCTAAACTTCTGGAATCTTTACACCTAAGGCCTTAAGTGTTTTTTTATAACGCAGACATAGAGAACCAGCAGGATTATGTTCTATGAAAATTGGATATCATTGTATTTTTCTGTGCAAAACACCCGAGTATGCTCTATGATTGGATATGGCTAAAAGATAAAAAAATAAAAAATAAAAAAATGTTTAATCGTACTTTCGCTCGGGAATGGATATGATGTATCCTTATTAACCTACTTATCAATAAAAGCAGTTGAATGTTTGACTGAAAAACTATTAGAAGTGCTTTGTAATGTGAGAGATTGTGTAAAATGACTATAAATGACTTATAATATAAAATAAAAATAAAAACTCTAAACAATAAACAATAAAAAGTAGTCAAAATGGATCTTGTTAGATTTCTTTTATATTAAATAATATGATTTTATAATTTATTTTATTTTTAAAATGATATAAATGAAGGAAAATTATATTTTCTTAAATAAAATTAAAATATGGTAAGGATAATCTTGTATTTTTAAAACAACATTTCGCTTCAGATTTTAAACCCGAAAAGCGCTTTTCGACTTTTCAAAAGTCAAGTTTTTACAGGTGTTTGGCCCTGCTTCAGATTTTAAACCCGAAAAGCACTTCTAAAAGCCGGGCCAAACATAGGGAATGATCATGGAAACTTTACACGTATTATTTATGAAAGCAACTAACTTTTCTCTCAATTAATTTTAATGACTATATCTTTCATTTAAAGTGATAAATTTTTTCACAGATAAATCAGATTAATTGTATTCTTCAAAATAACACTTATTTAGATATATTTTTTAACATGAAAAATTGAGACATTTATTATCAGTCTATATCATGGTGGTAATATTTGGTAGCGCATACGATTATACCATGTGGTAAAAATGTATACCATGGTGCTATATATGAATGTATCATATTATAGCATATTTGTACGCATATGATAATATGGATATAGTAAATGTCATTTATTTCCTTTCATCACCTTTTACCACCACATATTGGTCCTAAAAATTTTGTCCGGAAATATTTAGATCAAATAGATCACGATGAACTCGTTGCTTCTGTGCATACAGAGTTGTACCAGGTGGTAACAAGTGGTATGAGCGGTACACAAATATTTTTATTGAAATATATTAAAAATGGATATCATTTTGTAGATCGCAACAAATTCGTTCCATATGTAAAATTTGAAATCCAAATTATAAAAAATAAGATAAAATATGGAGGCATGATATACCAAAAACTAAACTCGTGTAGAACTACATAGGCGAAAGCAGTTGGATTTGGAATTGTCAGAGGATATGAGGAGGGGTGGGCAACGGGACATGTATCTCGTCCCGTTTGATACAAGTACCCAGTCCTGTTTGGAGAGCAAAGTCTATCACATGCCCCAAACCCATAAGGGTTAACGGGCACCCAAACTACTCGTACATACCCGTCCAATTGGATCAAAGATAAACTAATTTGACATCTTCTGATTGACAGCCACATCACGAAAATATTTACAACTTAGCTTAAATAATCAAAATATCAACGGAGACTTAACAATTGACTATTGTTTTGTATTTTGAAAGGTTTGACATTGACTTATATTTTGTCCAAAAATATTTGGCTAATAAATTGAAGACTCTCAGCTTGTCTAACAAGAATTTCAATATGTATCGTGTCATTCCCTTCGTGAATAAATCAGCAACTTGATCATCAATTCTCACATGAAGCAATTTAATCAACCCATATGTTAGCCTTTCCCTTGTAACATAGCAATCAATTTCAACGTGCTTCGTTCTTTCATAAAAAAATTGGGTTTTCAGCAATGTGTAATGCATACTTGTTGTCACAAAACAATGGAATAGGTAATGGTACCTTAACTCCCATCTCTGTCAACAAATTCCTCAGTCATTGGACTTCACAAACTCTTCAAGTCAAGGCCCTGTACTAAGTCTCTGAGGAAGACCTAAAGACAATAGTATGCTTCTTAATCTTCCATGTAATAAAAAAAAGTTCACAAAAGGTGCAGTAACTAGTAAGAGATCTCTTGGAGTCTGGACAACTTGCCCAGTCAGTATCTCAATAACCAGACAACTCCAACTTAGAATCTGCCCTGAAAATCATACCTTGAACAAGAATCTGCTTTAGATATCTAATCACCTTGTGTGCTGCTTGTAAGTGCTCAACGCAAAGAGAAGCTTGGAATTGGGCAAGCTGTTGAACAACATAAGTGATATAACGTCTTGTGATAGTAAGGTAGTGCAACCTTCCTATCAATCTTCCATAGACACTAGGATCAGTTAGCAGTTCCCCTTGCTCTGTAGAAAGCTTTACATTGCAATCAACTAGAGAAAGACATCATTTGGCTCTTTGAAACATGTGTCATCCAGAAGTTCCAAGCAATACTTCCTCGGGCTAACAGAAATCCCTTTGTGATCTATGATGACTTTAAGTCCTAAGAAGTAACTCATATGACCCAGGCCTTTGACCTTAAACTCCTTACTCACAATGTCTTCAGTTGTTCGATGTCATTTAGGTAAATGTGGTAATCAGAATGTCATCTACATAGACAAGGACCACCACAACTCTTCCTTGAATCCAGCTCACAAACACAGAGTAGTCTGGAGGTGTTTGAGACAAGCCATTTTTCAACAATCTATTGGTAAGTTTTGCAAACCACTGTCTGCTTGCTTGTTTCAATCCATATAAGGACTTCTTAAGGTTAAACACCAGACATGAATCCTTAGGAACATCAACTCCAGGTGGGATCTCTAGGTACACTTCTTCATCCATATCCCCATGAAGGAAAGCATTGGACACATCCATTTGTTGGATGAGCCATGCTTAGAAGCAGCAACTGCCGACAATGTCTTCACAGAGTTAATTTTAGCTACTGATGAATAAGTGTCAAGGAGATCGATTCCATAAATTTTAGTGTAGCCCTTGGCTACTAGCCGTGCTTTGAATCTTTCATTTGCACCATTTGATATATACTTCACATTGAACACCCACTTAGCTCCTATAGGCCTTTTCCCTTCAGGTAGCTTGACAACATCTCATGTCTAGTTTTCATATAGAGCATAGATTTCTTCCTTATAAGCTTGATTCCAACGAGGATCCTTACATGCTTCAACATAAGAAGTAGGTTCCTCTATGGACAAAACACTTAAAGCAAAAGCTTTATGAGAGGCAGTAAGGTGATCACAACCAACATGATGAGAGATATGTTGCTTGCTACTGGAAGCATCCATGCTTACATGGTAATCTCTGTGCCAAATTGGTTTGGTGTGATTCCTGGTAGATTTTCTCAAGAACTCAGTATCATTAGGACCAGGATAGACCTTAATCTCAATATACTCCCCCTAAGAATGCAAATGAATGGGAGAACCAACTTCAGGAGTAACATAATTTGGACGTAGAAGGAGTAGATGTATAAGTGGAAGGAATGTCAGGTAAAGAGGTAGAAGTAGGAGTTGGTGGTAAAGGAGCATTTGCAGACTGAATTGGAGATTGAATAGGATATGTTGGTGGAATGAATGTGAACTAAAGTGAGATAGGATCTTGTAGAAGGGGAGCAGAACTACTATAAGAGCAAGAAGTTTGAAATGGGAAGATGGACTCATAAAAGGTCACATCTATGGAGACAAAGAAAGAAGGGGAATTAAGATCAAATAGTTTGAACCCTTTGATGCGTGCTGGAAAACCAATAAAGATACACTACCTGGCCTTGAAATCAAACTTAGTTCTATCACTGTGCAGAGTAGAAGTATAGCAAAATGATGCAATGACCTTTAAACCAGTGAGATAAGGTGGTTTCTTGTAAATAACCTCATAGGGAGACTTGTCATCAAGAGTTGTAGTGGGAAGTCTGTTTATCAAATAAACAACATGTAGAACACAATCACTCCAGAACGTTAGTGGAACACCAGATTGAAAATGAAGAGACCTTGCAACATTAAGGATACGTTGATGTTTTCTTTCCACTCAAACATTTTGTTCTGGAGTTTCAACACATGACTGTTTGTGTTCAATTCCATGACGGCTATAGAAATCAGCCATGTGAAACTCAGGAGCCTGATCATTTCTGAATTCTGATAATCTTAACAGATTTTGAAAACTACCTTTCAACCATAGTGCAAAAGGATTGCAATGAAAGACTAGCCTCAGATTTAAACTTCATCAGAAATACCCAAACAACTGTGGAAAAATCATCTACAACAGTAAGGAAATAGGAGAATCCTTCATGGGATTTAGCAGCTAGTGGCCCCCAAATGTCTACATGAATCAATCCAAAAGCATCATGGGCTCTACTAGTACTAACAAGAAAGGAAAGCCTCTTATGTTTGGCAAAATGACAAGATCACAATAGAAACTACACCACTATTACAAGGTAGTGTTTGCTTCTCTTTGCCTTTGTTGGGGTGTCCTAGTCTCCAGTTCCATAGTTGGATATCTTGTGGTCGAAAATTATAAGAAGTGACTGCTTGTGGGGTAGGTAAGAGAGGTGCTTTGTTCTTGGTGTGTAGTTGATATAGTCATCTACTATGTCTTGCCAAACCAGTCCTTTACTTGGTCATCGGGTCTTGAATTTGACAAGAACAGACTCAAAATGTAAGGATGAAGGTTGATCATCCGTCAATTTGCTAATTGAGATCAGGTTGAAGGTGAATCTAAGCACTAGGAGCACATTTTCTAAGGCTAAGTCAGGAGAAATATGAACCTTCCCTATATGGCTAAAAACAACTCTAGTCCCATTTGGAAGATAGAGAAATTGATCTTGAATTGGAAAACTTCAGAGAACAAAAAGCAATGTTACAGGCTATGTGATTAGAAGCCCTTGTATCAAGTATCCAACTATGAGCTAGAGATTCAGCCTTATGCTGCATGAAGGAAGATAGAATGAACTTACCAACATAGTTTGGAAACTGAGAGATACTGTGAGCCACAAAGAAAGCTAGGTGATTTACAGAAGGTGAAGCTAGAGGTGAAGGACTAGGAGAAGGAACAAACTGCAACAAGTATCTGAGCTTATGCATTTTTTCATATGAGAAGTTCATATTCTCCTTAGTAAAGACACTTCGAGTCTTGGAGTTCAGTTTGGAATCTAAACTTGTTGTGTCACTGTCAGTAGAGGACTCTCCTTGAGGTACTAATGCAGCAACTCCCCCATAAATTCTAAGCTTCTTGTTCTTTAGCCTCCAACATTCCTCCGTAGTATGATTCTCCTTCTTGCAGCATCTAGAAAATTTCCTCCCTTCTTGGGAACCCCCTCGGACAGCAAGTGCAACTGTTTGCACACTTCTAGTAATGCCTCTATCTTTCTTCAACTTTTGTTCATGCTGCAGAACATCATTAATAGCTACCTCAGCTGTAGGAAGAGGCTTCATCATCAAAATTTGGGCATGGACTACACCGAACTTTGGCCTAAGCCCTTTTAGGAAACGAATGAGATAGTCAATCTCATGTTTCTGCTTGAATGCCTCTACTGCAGCACATGGTTGAGTTCTTTGTGGTACACAATCGCAATCGACAATATCGCTAAATTGGAGATGTTCTTCCCACAAACACTTTAGAGCAGCATAGTACTGGGTCACATTAAGGTTTCCTTGCTTATAGGCAAGTATTTGGTCTTGCAAGTTAGACAACTTGATAGCATTTGTGTACCCAAATCGTGCCTTGAGCTGTTCCCGTAGGGTTCTAGCACTTCATGTTGTATCACACTTCTCCTTATATCTTTATCAACATAATTTAAAATCCAACACAATACCAAGGTATTACAAGCATCCCATGTGATATAATTAAGACTTCCTACTAATGGAGATGGAATCGAGCCATCTATTAAACCAATTTTGTGTTTGGTCTTTGAGAGCCATTCTGGTGGCTCTTTGCCACATATGGTAGTTAGATCCATCAAGAGTCTTAAACGATGGACTATGAAATGTTTTCATTCGGATTTATGTAATAGGGATTACTGAATCGAGGATCTAGGCGATCGTTGTTGTTGTTGCTCGTTGTTTCAGATTGCGCACCGACGAGGGGACTAGTTGGTGTTGTCTCCATTTAAAGTTACTGGAATGGTAACCGCTCTGATAACATAACAAACTAGTTGAAGCTAGGGTTTAGCGAAAGAAGAAGAAGACGACACGACGGGATGGAATGCGCAACAGAGGGAGGGATCTCTCTTCCTTTTCTTATATACCAAAACCAAGGAGTGTTCTTCACGATATAAAACAGTAGAAAAAGAAATGGAAAAGTGAAATTTAAATAACAGTAATGGTAAAAGAACACGTGTCACCAGAGCATTCGTCACGATAACAATCCATTCAATGGTAAACTTCAAGACTCCACAACGAAGTCGCTTTGTCGCTTTGTCTCTTTGTTTAAGTTAAGTGGAAGGAAACCATAAACGTTTCGTTTTTTGGTGTGGTTTCTTCGTGAAGCTCTCTATATCCAGAGAGTTACTTTGGTAGATTATCAACTTCGTCTTTACTTGATATATTTCACATCGAAACAATGGGCCTCTATGAACTGCATATGTAATGCAAATTATATATTATATACAATCAATGAGTCAATTTTTTGTGTGAAAACATGCGTCAAATTTGTTGTCCAATAAAGAGTACAAGCTCTAATACTAAACCAAAACGCAACGTACTAGTTACTACAAAATACACAAAGACGGACATTTTGGTCGTATTATATGTTTCATTAGCAAGGATTTAACTACAAATTGATGGAAATAGTATCATCAAGAATAAGTTTGAAGTTAAGGTGCTTCTTCAGGAAAAAAAATTGATGTTGAGAGGTTTGGTAGGGGGAAAATCATAATTCAGAGGCTACATTGTGCATTAATTCCACAAATTCCATTTAGCTCATTTCTCAAGTCGTCAACGAGTAATTCCACAAATTTCAGAGGCTAAATTGTGCATTAACGGAAAGCATTAGGTTAGGATAATTTTGAAAATTGAGGGACATGTACAAGAGAATAAAATGTTGAAGAGTTTAGTTGGGAAAAATTCAGAGTTCATAGAAATAATTATGTATTAACTCTGAACGTGGTAAGATTAATAATCAGAGTTAAAGGTACTCCTCTGTGCCCATCTTTGAAAAAATAAGTTACTATAAGAGGTCGATAAACATTATTCTTTAATTTCCTCAATCTTTTTCTAGTTAAACGTGTTCCTGGACAGCTGTTTGCACAGCAGCCATCATAAACAATGCATACAGAGTACTCAACGTGAAATACCAGATTCACGAATGCCATCGAAATATCAAATCCCGATTGCATTGCATGTTCCTTATAAAAAAGAGAAATGTTTATAATTATTATTATGTCAGATTAATCACACAGTAATAATTGGGATTGTATTCGAGACGTGTCGCAACTACACAATCGAATCATATTTTGTAGCGCATAGGTTTCTTTTAAATTGCATTTTACAAATGCAGGGAGTTGGACTTTGTGGCGCAATAGTCCTAAATCCTAATGTGGGAGAAAATGACAGACGTGAAAGAGTATATATATATATATACGCGCGCAAGATTGAGATAGAGGACAAAATAGGGGGTTTGGAGCCCCAAGATTTGCAGACAAAAGAAAATGGTATTAAGTGTAGACAAATAAGACGATGAGCACAAATTTTTGTGTGAAAATTTTGATAAATTAAAATATATTAGTAGTCAAAACTATTCTTTTGATACAAAACAATTATTCATGATATAGTTAGTCGCTCACTTTCGAGTGGTGTTTTTAATAAAATATTATATGGTATTAATAACTCGATATAGTGGGGGGAGACAATAACTCGATATAGTTGATTGAGAATAGTTGATCGAGAGGTTTTGCATGTGTTCAAATATAAATACTATGTGCCCAACAAATGAGGTCGTCAAGATTTTTTTTTTTTGGTGAGAAGGTCGTTAAGATTCGAACACATACAAGAACTCTCAATCAACTATTCTCAATCAGATGCACCCTAATTTTCAATATCAAATTAACTATTGTACCAAATTAACTATTTTCCTCTCGAGACCGTGATAGATTTTCTTACAAATAAACAACTACGAGTGACTCAAGCGTTAAGCTATGTAGGTTTGTACGTTGATTAATGGCATCAAAACCCGAACCCGCGGGTATCCAGCCGACCCAACCCGGTCAACGCGAGTAAAATCCATGTTGATGGGGTTTGGGTTTAAATCCGTCTACTATTCACCGGGTTGGGTTTGGGTTTAGGTAAACCCGACCCATAGGTACCCGCCCACACTCATATAATTAATTTTCTCGGTATATTTAATATTCTAAACAACTAATCTTATTTATGTTTGTGGAGACATGTCTAATTTTTTCTTTTTAATTGTGTAGAATGAAGTTGATGTTATCGAGTAGAGAGTGAAGAAACTTAATTGAAAAGAAGAAGCTTTCAATTAATCATGTTATTTATGGATAATTTGTTATTTGCTTCAATTTTCTTGAGTTTTCTAGATTGGTGTTGAACAATTTGTATAGTTAATTTGTGATTTGCTTGAATTTTCTAGAATGGTGTTTTATATATGGATAATTCGTATTGAGAGATTGATATTTGACTTTAATTTTGATAGGAACTTGTTATTGTAAATTTTTTACGACAAAAACCCGTGGGTACCCATGAACCCGCGGATACCCAGCGGGTTGGGTTTTAGTTTTTCAAACCCAATAAATTTTACCCCGGATTTTTTTCATGGATACACCTATAGATTTGAGTTTGAGTTTGACCCAACCCGACCCAACCCGACCCATTACCATCTATATGTTATCCAGCGGATCAATTCTTACCGTCTATTATTTTCTTCCACATAAAAAGCTGTAAGAGAGGAGTCATCGCGAGGTTCCCATAGAAAACAATATTTTCTATTTTATGGATTCCGAAAGGAGAAAAGTATAAAACTGGAGAAACCACATAATTCTTAATTTATCTCCTTCATGCTATGTTTTCAATTTTTCAGGAAAATATGAGTGGCTAGCTATAGTATGTCATTTCTATATAGGCTAGAACAATTACGTAATTGAAAGAAACATCAGCCCAGCTACAACCATTTTTTAACACTTTCCTCTCAATAATGTCAACCAACTTGGGCCGGCTGTGATGATGACATAATCAAACAACCAGACAAATCTCAATACCCGGTTAAGTTTCTTTAACTTACGTCGAGGTTATCAAGCTGAAATTAGCTGGAAAGTATATATGGATTTACCGTAGCGAATAAGGGGTTTGGCCCCCCACCATTAGGTATTTACTGGTATTGGAAAAACATCATATCATATGAAAAGAGTACAATGATGGTATGAACATACTAAGACTATATGATGGTTGATTACATGATAGTAGGAGTATACTAACTGTCATTTACGATTTTTAACATTGTGTACCACAACATACCACATCGTACCAGGGTGGTATTGAGTGATAATTTTTGGTCATGTATTTTGTTCACCCAGAAATCTTTAGATTCAATAGATCATGATGAACTCGTTCCTTCTATGCAAAAAATTCAAAAATAACTTAAAAATGAAAAAGATATCATATGGTATGCAGTTGGTAACGAGAGACAATTTTTTCTCAAAAAATATTGAAAATTGATTTCATTTTCTAGAGCACAACCAACTCGTTCCATCCGTACAAAAAAAAATTGAAATCTGAGTTAAAACGAAGAAGATATGAGCTGATTAAGAAAAAAAAGGGAAAACAAAAATGCATATAATTCTTCACTATTAGATCTGGATTTTCTGAATCAATGGTCCCGATTTAGTTACTGATGAGTGCACCGTAATTGGAGCCTTGAATTTTGGAGTCAAAGTCATCATTATTAATAATTGATTTTCCCCTTTAGTTCATTATTATAATCGTTTCAAAATGATCTCAATATTTAATTCCAGAATAATAAACAATAAAAATGTAAAATTTTGTGCAAAAGTCTTTTTTTTTTTTTGACAAAAGATATTCATATATAGAGAATCAAAAGAGATAGTTACATCCTGGAGCACAGCCAGGTCTGGAAATCAAACAAACGACTCGCAGTCGGAGACAATGAAAGGGCCTTTCTAGCCACCAAATGGGCTACCCTATTGTTACAACTACCTACAAATCGAACACGGAAACCTGGATGCGAGGCAAAACACGAAACCACCTCCTCTAAAACCGCCCCCATCCGAGTATCCCCCACCGCCGCACTATTGATCTTATCAATGACTACCTTGGCGTCCCCTACAAAGCAAACCTCCGAGAACCCGTACGCTAGACACCAGCAGAAAGCCTCGCGCAAGGCCAGCACCTCCACCACCATAGGGTCATCAATGCCCTGGAATTGGAATCCTCGAGCCATCAAAATATCTCTAGAAGGGGTCATCACCACTACTCCTCCCGCCGAATGCGACCCTAGTCTTGTTGCCCCATCCCACATGCAAATAATCTGGTTGCCAGTCCTACTGGTAGTAGACGTGGGTCCGGGAGCACGAACATGATTCCTCCGCTCGACCGGCACCCGCGACCACTCATCCACCTGTTGGTACAGCTGTCGCAGCAAGGCCGGGATCCCGAATTGTTTGCCCTAAAAAACAACCCAATTACGAGATCGCCAGATCCTCCAGAGTACAGCAATCACAGTCATAACCAACTCCGGGTTCTGAATGAGGGCCAGCATACGCTTAAGAAAAAGCGGGAAAGTATGGCGTGGTAGCCCCTGACCCAAATACTCAAGCCCAGCGTAATCCCAAAGCGCCCTAGCCACTGGGCAATCCAGAAACAAGTGCTCCATGGTTTCCTCAGCATCCCAACAAACCGGGCATCTAGGGTTGACCAACACATCTTTATCCCGCAAGGCCTCAGTAGTGGGGAGAATCCGATTAAAAATTTGCCAAACAAACACCTTGAGCTTAGGTGGTATGTTGGCCTCCCATAATCGGATCCAGCTTGGCCTATCCATCCAACTAACCGTAGCTTTACAACGCTGACTCTGCTGCCTTAACCTAACCGCAAGGTGATAAGCCGATTTTACCGTAAAAACCCCATCAGCTGTGTCATTCCACACGAGACGATCCTCGATATTATGCCGAGGAAGCGGAATGCTTATAATGGCACGGCAGGTAGGGGGGTCAAACCACTGCCTGAGCATTGACTCATCCCACCGCCCTTCTCCAGGAACGATCACTGCCTCGACCCGAAGGTCTCCTTCCTCCGGCAGAACCACGGGGTTATAACGCGGGGGAGACGGATGAAGGGACGGCACCCAGTTAGACGAAAGCAGAGAGGCAGCCCGGCCATTACCGATCTGCCATCTTACCCCTTGTTCCAGCAATTGCCTGCCATATAGAATACTCTGCCAGCCCCAGGACGGCCGGGAACGAGCAGTAGCCGTCAGGAATGTCCCAGAGGGGAAATACTTTCCTTTATATACTTGAGCTAACAAGGAGAGAGGATCAAACATGATTTGCCACCCAATTTTGGCAAGCAGGGCTTGGTTGAATAGCTCAAAATAGCGAAACCCCATGCCCCCATCATGCTTGCTTCGACACATATTTCTCCATGACATCCATCTAACTTTAGGGTGACCTTCCACCACATTCCACCAAAACCTAGCCACATGTTTATCCAACAATCGACATAGGGAAAGAGGAAGTTTGAAACAGGACATGACATGTAACGGGAGTGCCAGGGCAACCGATTTGATCAGAACCTCCTTAGCCGCCCAAGACAACGTCCTTTGCTTCCACCCTTGCAGACGCTCAAGAAGTTTTTCCTCTAGGTACCGAAAAGTATCCATTTTAGATCGGGCAATCAACTTGGGTAGTCCCAGATACTTATCATGGACACCAACCGCCCCCACCCCCAAAATCTGCGCCAAGAACTCCTGATCAGGCAATGCTATGTTTTTGCTAAAGCATACCGCGGATTTGGCTAGGTTAATCCGCTGGCCGCTTAGTTCCTCGTATTCATTCAATACTTCCATCAGGTTTTCACATTCCTCTAGGGACCCCCTGAGGAACAGGTAAGAATCGTCTGCAAAAAACAGGTGGGAGACGCGAGGTGCCCGAGGAGCCACTTTAACCCCTTGAAGTTTCCGTTCCGAGATTGCCTTGTCTAGAAGGGCCGCGAATCCCTCTGTGCAAATCACAAAAAGAAGGGGAGAAAGAGGATCGCCCTGCAGCAGACCCCTAGACGGGGTGAAGTAGCCAGTTGGCGTGCCATTCATCATAACTGAGAACGAAGTGGACTTGAGACACTCCAGAATCCATCCTCGCCAAGTAGAACTAAAACCCAACTTCTCCAAAACTGCTAGGAGAAATGGCCATTCGACTCTATCATAGGCCTTTTCCATGTCAACCTTCAGAGCCATGTACCCTTTCTTGCCTTTCGTTTTGATTTTCAGATAATGCATTAGTTCATGCCCGAGGAGAATGTTCTCCACTATTTGGCGTTCCCTGATAAAAGCGTTTTGGCCCTGGGAGACAACCTGCGGGAGGAGACTAGCC